CTTAGACTCTAGGGAGAAGAGAGTGCCTTCCTCTTTTTCTGGATTGCAGAAAATTATGCATGATGGATATAAAGGGACAAATTAAAACTCAAAATCACTAACAGGAAATGGGGTACATGTAATCCTGTCAGCATTTGAGAAGTGGGATTCAGGGATGCGTTTTGCAAAATTGTGCTTTCCAAGGAAACAGATACGGGGTGGTATGTTGCAAGATTTTTGTCAAAGGAAGCGAATCCAAGAAGAAATGTTGCAAGTCTGTGCTGTGAAAGGAAGTGCCTTCTTACTTAGTCCATCAGATCTGCAACAAAGCTTAGCAATTATCTTCACCAGTCTCACAAGACAGAAGGAGAAACTAAGGCCCAGGGAAGAGAAGGAAAGTACCCAGGTCAGGCTAGCACTGCAATCCCAGCTTCCTGACCCTCCCTTCCTCCCCTGCCCTTTCCTCTCCTCCTCAGGTAAGTATCATCACCTCAGCTTTTGCTCCAGGTCCTCAGCCCAGCCTTGGCATCCCCACCCTCTGGGCAGCACCCAAGGTCAAAGGATGGCACTAAATCTGTCTACCTGGATCTATACTTGCCAGATGACAGGCTGCAGCCAGTGGGTGACTGGGCCGAGCTGGAGAGGAAGGAGCAGTGCGATGATGTGGCCTAAACCTCAGAAAGGAAGCCTGGTCACCAGGGGGAATTTCCCCAGCCCTGGTCTCATGTCTATGCAAATGATGTACTGCAATGAATCTGGACTCCAGAATGGGAAAGGAAGAGAGGAGCAAGGACACTGGGAAAGATAAAGGCAGTAAGGCCTGAACACCTCCAGGGACCTGGCATTGTGCCAGGCTCCTGTATGCTTTACCTTATGTCGTCCCTAAAGCATCTTCCGGTGGAGGGAAATTGGAACCTTCCACCCAGGGCAAAGGTGCACTGCAAAGGGAAAGCAGTACATTCCAACCCTGGGGAGACCAGGCCTCAAGGAGGCGATGATGACAATCATGGTGATGATGGGTTTGGTGCTTTTGATGCTGATGGAGGTGGCAGTGCTGAGCTGGGAGTCCAAGAAGTCTACAGGGTTTCATTTTAAGTTTCCATGTCACTCACCAGGGGAATTTTATCCTGGGAACGGCCAAAAGGCAGACGGCAGGTAATGACCTTGTCTCACTCTGGGCAAATCCCAGCACTCTGGATTTTCAAAGGCCCTGTGGGGACAGTTCACAGGCTGGCACTATTAACCCCTTCACCACCAGCTTCCAAAACACTCCTGGGATGGTGAGTGGAATGGAGTGACCTTCTGAAGGAGACTCTCTTCCTCCTACCTCTTTAAATCTTGCTCACCTTGAGCCACAGCTCCCTAGGAGGCCTGCCTTGGATCTCCAACTCTTTTCTAAGGCTTGATCGAAGGCACCACCAGGGACTGGTCTTGTGTCTCCAGAGCAGTGCGTCAAGTAGGGCAGAGCTCAACTCAGAGCTGTTAGGCCCTCAGTTTGCCCTTCATGAGGCCTGGCTGTTTCTCCTCCTATTTCAGGGCAGGTCCCAACAGGCAGGTCCCTGATTTCTGGAGTTGTGTGTGGCACACTAAGACTGTGTGCCAAGGATAGCAAGTGTGTGGAGAGCAGGCTTGGAACCATGCAGCCTAGTAGCCTAGGTATGGATGTTTGCACTCCTGGTCAGCATCAGATGACCTGTGGGCCTGGCCATTTTAGGACTGTAGTCAGCAATGTGTGTTTCTGTGTGTTACCAGCAGTCTGTGCCTTTGAGTTGTCCCCTGATTCTGGGTCTTCATAGTGTGTCACCATGGGCACAGCTGTCAGTGATTTGGAATTCTGTGACAAGCAGTGCATGTGTGCTCTGGGTGGATACCAGGAGCATGGGAAATGTCACATCCTCACCCTCCCTGCTGTATCAGGCCCTCCCAGGTCAAGGTCCAGAGCCCTCTTGATGGGGTGCCCAGGGTGGGGTTCTGACTGCAGCTGGCAGCACCACAGACAGATGGTAGTAACTGAGGAAGGGATGGGTCCATCCACAGAAGGAAACACATGTGCTGGAAGCTTCTTTGAGCAGCTGAGCCTGGGGGAAGGGCCCATTCCCAGACAGCTGTAGCTTAGGTTGTTTTTGGTCCTTAGCTAGCTGAAGAGAGGGCCCTGTATGGCCTGGCTTGTATGGGGGGCTTTAGCCTCACATCCTGCCTTTAAATGCTCTTCCTGTCTTTGGGTTCCCGGATAGTGCCACCTGGCTTTGCATTTGCATTCCCATATCAGGACAGGCTGTCTCTCTCGTGTTCCTGCTCCCCAATGTCTTTCTTCTCTTTTCTCCACTCTTTTACCCTGACTCATGTCCTCATCCTTCACACCCAGGTGACCAGTTCTGGTCCTGTCTACTTCTCCACGCTGGCTCCAGAACTGTCCTTTCTAAAGGGCACCTCTATCATGCCACTCCCTGCCCCTGGCACATTCAGTGGTCACCAGTGCCTGCAGGGTAAAGTTCACCCTCTTTTTCCTGAAGTCGTCATGACCTTCCTGGGTGGTGACTTCAAACAGTGTGTGCCCTCAAGGTTCCCATGCACATTTGCAGCTGCCTCTACTTCCCCAACTCTGCTCACACCTGCAACTCCACTACTCCTTCACTGTGGAAAGCTCCTGTAGCCATCTTCTGGGGTCTCACTCAAGTACTCCCCCTTTCCAGTTCTCGCTGAAGTTAAGTTGTGCCTCTGCACTTAGTGCGCCTTGCTTCTGTGTACTTGGTTGAATTTTGTCTAATAACTTCTCTCAGCACCTAGCTCTTTGAGGATATCAGGCTTAGTAGAGGGACTCAGTAACCAGGAGAGGGTGTCAGGACTCTACTTGCAAGCCGGTTACTCTCTATAAAGTTAGTAATTATAAAATTAGTTAATAGTAAAGGGGTGATGTTTGTGGAGCCAGCCCTATGGTCTGGTCACTGTGCTCAGAGATGGACATGCATTAGCTTAATCTTCATGCACTCCCCTTTTACAGATGAGGAAATGAAGGCCAGTGGTTGAGTGGGATTTGAACCCAGGCTTGCCTGCTGCCAAAGACTGAAGCACTGAGCAACAGCTGTTATGTGACTAGAATTTCCCACTTGCCTCACTCCAGCTGTGAAATGGAGAAGTCTCCTTTGGGAAACCTGTGGTCTGCCAGGGAATGGAGAGGCAAGTTAGAACACCGATTTACCACTTCTGTGTTCTAAAACTCAGGTTGCTGCCTCCCACTCAGCACACTATGGCTCTGCTATAAAGAGGAGAGCCAGGTGTGGGTTTCACACCTGCACTCTCAGCACTTGGGAGGAGAGGCAGGAGGATCTCGAGTTCAAGGACAGCCAAAGCTACATAGCAAGACCCGGTCTTAAAAAGCTGGGGATAGGGGGCATGGAGAGGTGGAGCAGGAAGCATCGACAGACAACAGTAGGACAGGAACCAGGAGCCACAGTCTAACCCTTATTATCACTGTGGTCACAATCTGCTCTCTGGGCCTCAGTTATCAAACTTGTCACACGAGTGTGGGTTGGGTCATCTCGAACACCATTCCCGGCTCATGGATCCAGGATAGACTATGTCTTTAGCAAGCTGTTCCACTTGGAGCCTAAATTTCCTCACCAGCCACATGAAGGCGCTAATCCAGCACTACTGCAGAGCTATTTACCCTAATGGCCAGGGGGACTGCTCTAGTGGTGACTCTCTTCAGGCACAGTAAATTTCAAGAGTTTCAAAACATCCAGCAGTTCCCATACCACTCTCCATTGGCGGGAAGCATGAGGATGTGATGCTCAAATAGCTACTCTGTGTGGGTCAAAGGGCAACTCCTTCCCCACCAGACACTTCCTTCAGGTATTTCCAAAGACCAGGGTTGGCTCATCCCAGTCCAGAACTTCTGAAAAGGGTTTTCCCAAAGAGAAAATGCATGCCCATGGTAGGAGGGGGAATGACAAGGAGCTAGAGGGAGGGTGGCCCTGGCTTTGAGGTTCACCCCAGAGGGGGACAAGAGGGACAGGAGAAAGTAAAGGATGCTTATAAAAGCCCTGGACCTAGGTAGGACTGCAGAGTTCCCATCCGGCCTGCACCTCACTGCTATGATCCTTGGCCAGGCTCTTCTGTGGAAGTGACAGTTGCCTCATCTGTGAGAGGGAGGTGAGAATTTCTGAGGCCCCTTCCACACTCACAACCTCCCGGCCACCCCCCTTTTCTCCCACTTTGACACAGCAGTGGTTTGAGCTTCTGCTTTCTCTTTCCTTTTAGTTTAATTTAGCCCCCACCACTTCTCATTGACCTTGGGTCACAGACGCAATCTCCAGGCAGGAAGCACACTCAGTGGAAGCTCCTTAAGGATGGGAACAACCACGATTCATTTCTTCAGCACCCAGCACAGGACACAGCACAGGGAAGGCTCATGAATGACCAAGTGAATGAATGAGGTGCCTCTGATTCAGAATAACAGCACCTCCCTCCTCCCCTGCACCTCCAAGGAAAAGCAGGGTTTGTTTTGCAGGCTCTGGATCCCAGTCAGCAGGGTTATCTTAATGGCCTGTCAGCACCCTCTTCCTCCATTCACTTTTTCTTAAAGGATAGATACCTTCCCTGTCTAAGAACCTCCGAAGGTTTCCCCGGGTTGTAAGAGAAAATCTTGATATTCAAAGTCCTCTGTGATTGGATACAAACTCCCATTTCTGTCTCGCCTACCTCACCCCATAAACATCCAACAATGGAGCAATCCCAGAATGCAACCACCTTAACTGAAGATGAAGTGAAAAATGCATGTGGAGACATTAGGATGGGTCCTGCCCATTGTAAGCGCTTGGTCTTGGCTGTCCTCAATCCTGGCTCCCACACCTCCTCTTTATGACTCCCTCAGCTTCATGGGGACTTCCACTCTTCTATCCCTCTGTCCCAGCTCAGCCCATTTCCCCTTGAGATTTTATATATATACACGAATATATATATATATTATATAAATATATATTATATATATATATATATATTTTTTTTTTAAGGCACCATCTCATCCTTTTTGGCTTTGGGGGGCCTCTGTGATCTGCAGCTGATCAACTTCTTGAAGTTCAAGCTTGGAAACATCACAGGATTCACCTTTCAGCTCCTACAATTGACAATGGTTCTTAGCACTTCCAGGAGCTTCTCATGTGACTCCCACAAGGCTACAGGACAGGAAGGATTACGATCCCACTTTATAGATAAAGAAATGGAGGCCCAGAGAGATTACATGCTCAGTGACAAAAGGTCCCAAGCCAAACCATTAACCATTCTCTTTCAGTAACATTTACATTGGGCAAATACCCCGAAGTGCTCAGCTGACCCTCAAGGCATTTTGGATCACAGCCTGGTAGAGGCAAGGAAGTGGAGAAGACTCCACCAGGTCACTTCTTAGTTTCAGACTCTATGCCAGGGAGGGTTCTTCAAAACCGTTGGGTCTCCCCTCACCATACAAAGGGGGAAACTGAGGCCCAGTGACACTGAATGGCTGTTCTGAGGTTACATAGCAAGGGAAAGACAAGAGCAGACCCAGCAAGTCCTCAGTTCTCCCTGCTGTCCACACAGTTACCACAAACACACTGAACCCAAATAGCCTGGCCTGGGCAGCCAGGGTAGGAGATAGAGCCCTCTGGCCAGTGGACTACCTCACATCCCAGACACTGGACAAGCTTAGATCCAACTCACAGAGCAAAAGTTGGGCTAGGGGAAAGGAAGACAGAGAAACTACTTAAGCTCACTTGCTTATCGGTAACATTCACAAAGTGGAAAATTTCCATGGGCCTCCCCAGATGCTGATTGAATTGGTGCCCTTGAAGGGGTCAAAGGAGGAAATGTGGGGTTGGCTGTGATGGATGGAGAGCACACAGGGAGATGTCCAGGTAGTGAGAGGGGAGCTGAGGTGGCAGGCTGGGCCACCTTCCCAAGCTTGAGGCAAACTCAGACTCTCTGTGTGTGGGGGGACTTTCCAGGGGGGGCTTTCCAGGAAGCAGCAGGAAGAGTGAAAAGATAACACTCACTCCTGGGCCGTTTAACCACCTCCCCATGCCGGAGGAAAATCCAGGTTCTAGGTAGAAGACAATGGCCCTCATTGGAAATGTCTCTATGTGTTCCATTTTTGTTGTTTTTTACAGAATGAACAGGACTCAGGGGATGAACTGCAGGCTTACTCTAGGGCCAATATTAGAAGGGATGTCAAAATTTTGTGGTCCGACTCTCATTTTGTAGATGATAAAACTGAGACTCGGGGGGAAAGGCCCAGGGACAGAAATGAATGCATGGCAGATGCAAACTGGAGCCCAGGCATCCTGACCACTGGCCCTGGACTAGCAAACTGGGTGGGGAAATGGAGTGGGGGAGGGGTGCCAGTTTGCCCAAATATTTATTCCTCCCTTCTTTGCCCCTGGTACACTCACCCGGTACCTGCCACCATACCCTGTCAGTCAAAGCACACACATCACTCATTTTATAGCACAGGCTCAGTATTTTGGGATGGGGCAAAATACTGCCCAAACCAGGGCCAGGGCTGTGGCAAGGGACAGAAGCTGAGGAAGGCCAGAGATGAGGGATGGGGAACAGAAGTGGACGGGACTGGTGTCTGTGGTTCTTCAGGTGCTTAGCCATGAGCAGGAGGGACCGTGCTGGGTCCCCACTGTCCTATGGAGTGGGAGCCTTTCCTAAGCCCACGTGAAGAACCCAACACAGCACCTTCTCCACCCATGCTCTTTCCTTAGTTTCTGAAGCTGGAACAATGGCTTGGTCATGGCGGCTAGTGCAGGTAATGGTTCTTGGCAGATGGGCTCATCAAAGTTGTGGCCCTAGTCCTCACCACCACAGAGAGCCAGCAAGGCCTTCAGGAAGTCTCCGGAGGTGTCACTCTGGTGGAACAGAGGAAGGACAGAGTGAATAAAAACAATCTTGGTCTCAGTGCCTCTCCTCCTAGCATCAAATGTGACCATGTCTCTTCTGGGGCTCCTGTGATCCTCAGGAAGATGTGACAGCCTGGTGTTGAGACCTTTGGGATCTGACACCTGTACAGCTCTGTGGTGTCACTGCCTTCCTTCCTCCCGGGAGCAGCTCGGTCCTCTTTCCACCTTCTACCACTCCTGTGCCCACTCTCCCCAAAGAAGCAGTCCTGTCCTCTATCTTGCCTCAGGAGGCAGACTGCATTTCCACCACCCTTGGTCCCCATGGCACTCTGCTAAAACCCTCCCCTGTATGGCCCTTACACATTGTGTCATGAACAAGGATGACTGTGTACTCACCACTCAGGCCACCATTGAGAAACTGTGTGGTGTCACCAGGCTTTGAACACACCACAGTGGTCTGGCCTCTGGTGAGGCAGGGAGAGGCTGAACCTTCTCTCATATGGTATAGCTCATCCTTTAGAGTGGCTCCTATGACTCTGATAACCCGTATTTGATATGTGCATTTGGGGGTTTTGTTTTTATATTTTTTGATATAAATATTTTTCAAAATAACCTATTACCATTATAAACAATTCAAATCAAAAGAATGATTTACAATGAAAGTCTTCCCCCATCCTTGACCTAGGCCCCCAAAACAAGAGGTAGCCACTGTTGTTACTAATTTCTTGTATGGTTTTCCAGTAATAGTCTATGCATATGCAAATATGTATATAATATCCCTCTTGTATGCAAATGGACACATATCCTGCTCTAGGTGGTACTTTTTCACTTTTTTTCAGTGCTGAGGATTGGACCCAGGGCTTTGTGCATGCCAGGCAAGCACTGCACTCCTGCCCCCATGGCCTGTACTTTTTGACTTAGAGAAGATTCCAAATCACTACATGGACAGTTCTCAGGCTTTTTCAAGGCTGTATTGCATTCTATTATACAGATATACATTGAGTATCTCTTATCGAAAATTCTTGGAACCAGAAGTGTTTTGGATTTTTTTTTTTATTTGGAATATTTGTATATGTACAGTGAGGCATTTGGGGGGGCAAGTCTAAACATAAAAGCCATTTATGTTTCATATACACCTTATACACATAGCCTAAAGGTGATTTTATATAATATTTTAAATAAATTTATTCATGAAATTTATTCATGGTGTGGAACTTTTCCCTTACACTATCCGATTGGTGCTCAAAAAGTTTTGGATTTTGGAGCAATTCAGATTTTGGATTGTCAGGTTAGGGAGGTCCGACCTGTACCAGAATTTATTTAGGTTATGTATGTAAGGATTCTAATCTTCTGCTACTGTAAACTGTGCTGGCATTGTTATGTTCTCACGTGTCTTTGGGAACGTGTGTGGTTATGTCTATATATTCCTACATGTAAGATTACCAAGTAAAACCATACACATTTTAAAATTCTGAAACCACCAGATTATTCTCTAACGTCGTACACCAATTACATTCCCACCAAGTGACACACCACCTGTGAGATGTCCATGGTCCTGTTTACAAAGCATAGATAGCATCAAGCTTTGAGATCCCAGCCAACCTCAAGAAAAAAACTCGGCTCCATAAGTCAAAGAGGCCAGAAACAAAAGTCCCCCATTACAAGAGTCCATTTACATGAAGTATCTAAAAAAGACAAACCTTTAGGGACAGAAAGGAACCCAATGGCTGTCTGCAGCTGGGGTGGCAATAGATGGACAGTATGAGGCGTCTCAGTGGAAATGTCTGGAGGCTGGATTGTGGTGATGGTTGCATAACTCAATAAATTTTACTAAAAATTACTGAATTGTGTCCTTAAAACAGATGAATTTTATGGTATATAACGTACACCTAAATTAAGTTGTTTTTACAGATGACTAGACTAAGGCTCAGTGAGGGGAAGGGGCTTTTGGCTTTATATTATAAGCAGAGTTAGAATTAGGAGCTTTTTTTTTGGCAGTACTGGGGTTTGAACTCAGGGCCTCATGCTTGCTAGGCAGGCGCTCTACCACTTGAGGTACTCTGCCAGCCCCATAAAATTGTTTTTGAAAAGTTAAAAGTGAGTTCTTGTTTCATTGAGAAATCTTTCATGATAAACCTCTGTCTTCTGGATTTTGGTGTAAGCAATGAGACAACCTCCTTTCATTTAGCAATACCTACTGAGAAAAAGGCCATCCTGAGTAAGCTCCTCTTACCTCAATGGCGTGGTGAAGGGACTTGTCATATTTCTCAATGAATTCCCGCCGGATGTTGAGCAGGTCGATCTCACTCCGGGAGACCATGACCCTGGTGAGAGTCTTCTCATCTGTGCCAGCGCCCTGGTGGAGCCAGGCAAGAGGGAGACCCGGAGCAGAAGGAGAGACAGAGCTGGGTCAGTAAGAAATAGTGGGTTCACTGCCTTTGTCCGTTTTGCCCTCCAAAACCAGGGTGGGATATTCCACCTCTGTTGTCCACGTAGTCCTGACCAAGACTCCCTTGTACTGATGACTGGTCAGCTGGAGAGGCGAAAAAGGCTTGTATGGATTGAGTAGTGTCCCCTCCAAAACTCAGGTCCAACTGGAACCTCAAAATGTGACCTAATTTGGAAATAGGGTCCTTGCACATGGAATTAAGATGAACTTGAACTGGATTAGGGTGGACCTTAATCCTACTGACTGCTATCTTTATAAGAAGAGAGGGAGCTGGGCATGGTGGTACATGTCTGTAATCCCAGCATTCAGAAGGCTGAGGCAGGAGGATTGTGAGTTCAAAGCCAGCTTGGGCTACACAGGAGGAGGAGGAGGGGACATAGAAGATATGGGCATGTATGCAGAGAAGGCCAGGAACCATGGAGGCAGGGATTTGATACAGCCACAAGCCAAGAGACTCAGTTCCCCCTCATGCCTCCAGAACCCACCTTGTGGTAATTATTTGTTACAGCAGGAAAGTAACACAGGTGAGGGGCAGGTACAGGCATGGAATATGGAGTAGCCAGGGCCCTACCACCACTTTGCCACTGAAGAGCCATTTAAATGTGGGTGAGGTTTAACCTCCTTAGGCCTCAGTTTCTCCTCTATAAAATGAAGATGCTACCATGGATTTCACAGGATCACCATGAGGGCTAACTGTGGTCAGAGCAGACACTTGGCACAGGGTTTGGTACACAGCCACAGCGAGTGCTCAATAAGCAGAGGGCTCAGGCCCCTTCTCTCCAAACCACCTGCCCAGGCCCTGTCAGCAGGTGAGACTCCAGGGCCTGGTGGGAGAGTAGCCAGGGTGGCCCAGGCTTCTCAGAAAGAGCAAGGCTGAGCACTATGACCTTGAATGACCATTTGTCAAGAGACCCAGTGTCACCTGCTGGAATATGAGCTCACAGAGGGCAGAGACAGTCCTCTCAGCCCTGTGCCTACAGCAAGAGTCTCAGCCTTGGTGTTTTGGGTCAGATTATTCTTTGTTGTGGGGAGCTGTCCTGTGCATTGTAGGACCTTTTTAATTTGTGTGTGTGTGGGGGCAGTGCTTGAGTTTGCACTCAGGGCCACTTAAGCCCCTTTTCTGTTTAAATTTGTTTCAGATAGGATCTTGCGCTTTTAGCTGGGCTGGCCTGAGACCACAGTCCTCCTGAGTAGCTGAGATTTCAGGCATGGGCCACCAAGCCTGGCCTGTTGTAGGATTTTGACAGCATCCTTGCGCTCTCCCCACCAGAGACCAAGTTGTGACAACCCAAAATATGCCTGGACATTGCCAAATGTCCCCTGAACAAAATCACCCCTGATTGAGAACTACTATCCTAGAGCCAGACAAGGGCAGATGCTGACCCAGGACAAGTGGGAGGGTCCTGAAGTGGGGGAAGAAGGTGTACATCCACAAAAGGCAGTGCTGGAAGGGAAAAGAAGAAATGACCCAGATGTCTCACCTTCATGGACCTGTAAAGTTTGTCGGCAAAGAAGAGAGGCCTGTTCTTGACACTCTGAACTGGTGGGAAGAGGAGACAGAGGCAGGGAACTTGGTCAGAGGCTGTGTGCCCAGACTATCGGCTAGGCTTCCTTCCTCCCACCTCTCCCCTAGCCAGGGTCTACAGATCACTGCCAAGCTCAGGACATGCCCAGGGGGTGACACCTTCCCTTTCCCTTCCCAGTGCCACCTTTGCTGGCTCCTCCCTAGGCTTGGCTCTCCCTGGACCAAGGTCAATAGAGGATACAAAGGAAATTAGCCCGTCATGGAGCCAGGGTGTAGGACCTCAACGTATGTGTATTAATGCAATATGTTTCATAGTAAATGATACCAATAATAATTAATACTGGTAAGACCAAGTTCAACCCTTGCTCTTCTCTACTTACACATATTTACACATGGAGAAACTGAGATCCTTTTCAAAGTCAAGAACACAAATTATGTTGAGAAAGAGGAACCAAAGAGAGTCGGGTGCTGGGAGAGTTAAATGTGTGTATGTGCAAATGTAGTATGTGTGTGCAGTGAGTTACATGTTAATGTGTGTTGTATGTAGGTATCTTGTATGTGTGCACACACTCTAGTCATGCAAGGTACTGCAAACCACCACCACCACTGCCTTCCTTCACCTTCCTGGTCCTTCCTCAGGGAGAGCCATTTCCTTGCCCTGTCCTACAGCCTAGAACAAGTCCTCACACTGTCCCCAGCAACTGAACACTTGGCAGTTGCACATCCCAGTAGCAGTTGTGTAGCAATCAACTAAGGCTACACTCTTCCAGGGAACCTAGCCATGCTCCCAGTGCCCCAGCAGTTACCGATGGCCACAAATGCGTCCCTGACATCCCCAGACATCTCCTTCTTGATGACGTGCTCCACGTCATAGTTGGTCATCTTGATGAACTCCTGGAAGACTGGCCCCAAGAGAACCCCGGAGGAAAGAAGTGAGCTTCAGTTCAGAGGGGAACTGAGCTACCCTTCCCCCCAGCTCCACCCAGCCCAGGCTAGGGATGTGACCAGAGAGCAAGGACAGCAAAACAGCCATAGTCCAGGCTACGCATTGGACAGGACCACCGTGAGAGGACGTTCTGACCTCAAGGCTGCCGTAGACGCACAGCCAGATCTGTGCCAAGTCAAGAGCGTCCAGCCAACAGCCCCTGAGCCTTGCAAGTTCTATGAACCCAAGCTGGAGTGTAAAAGGAACAGGGGTCTTAGTCATGGCTCTGCCTCAAGCTCAGTGTATGACCCTGGGTTTCCTCTTCCTCTGTGTCAAGTTGGGATGGAGATTACAATAAGAAATTATAACGATGACACTTAGGAGCACTAAGTGTGTGGCATGGTGCTAAGTGTGTTCCATGTATTGCAGTTTTTAATATCCTAACAATAAGCATCTGAGGTACAACTAAAATCTCAACTTCTAGATATGGGGGTTGGGGGACAGAGCAACTCAAGTCCATGGGTGGTAAGTAGAAACTGATTAGAACCAAGGCGGCCCAGTGCCCACGTCCATTCTTTTAGCCACAATATTAAAACATCTTACATATTGACGTGCCAGGGAAATGCTGACTAACCTGTCTTAGTGGAAAGGGAACCCTGTGATCACCTCAAGTAAGGGCCACTGCATACAGCTGTATCCTGTGTGTGTGGCAGCCTACAGGTAAAAGACTTCTATGTGGTCTTGTGCCACCACCTGTCTGCCCTGCTTTGCTCTCAGCAGGTGTCATTAATGGATTGTGCCACCAAACTCAGACCTTCTCAATAATAATCATGTTACATGTATTGCAGTTTTTATATTCCAACAACTACATGAGGTACAATTAAAAATTGTAACTCTTAAGTAAGGGGATAGAGGCATTCTAGGCAGCTACTCTGACCTGCTGATAAACTGAGGTAAACCCTGTTAGCATCCCTTAGCCCAAGGCATCCCACCTGCTTCCCTAAGGAAGTGAAGGGAGTTGGAAGGCAGTTGGCCAAAGGCTGACCATGTGCCAGGGCTCCAAGTCCCCACCAGCCACAATTCTTCCCCACTTCTCTCCAAGGAGGAGGCTGGGCCACATCAAATCTGGGACTCTCACTGCTGAACCGGAAGTGGGGGGTTAGGCCTCACCTCTTCGGAGGTGGGGATAGCTACGGGTGCACAGAACTGTCATGAAACGCGTCTCCAAGGAAGTCTTGTCTCCACTGGGAGTGTCTGCTATTTCCTGCAGAGCCCAGGTGGGCAAGGATTTGGGAGGGAGACACAAGGAAGTCTTGGTTATTACCCACTTTTGGTTTGCCAAGGTTGAGGGCAGTCAGAAATGGGGCTGATCCGGCCATCTGAGGGGGCTGAGGTTGTCCTGTTCCTTCCTCAGCCTCAAGCACAGTGGTCACATCTCTTGTCCTGTTCTCAGATGCTCTGAGGACACACACAGATGAGCCTGGTGCTGGGCACGGTCACCCTGGCCTCAGGGTTTAGGGCCATTGGAGGGCCAATATGACACTGGGCACAGAGGCTTGAAGCTCCTTTCAGCCCTCCACCTGTCTGAGAGCCCCTCTGAGGAGTGTGTACGTGCACATATGCAAGCAGAAATGGCTTAGCCAGTGTTTCCCCAGGTTTGATCAAGGTCACACATATTTTAACACACCAACTACATATGTTTCCACATTATAATCTAGCCAGCTACGATTCTATTCATATCAACTTAAATTCCCTTTAAAATAACTCATTTTAGGTTAAAAAACTGAGTTGACTTAAAGAGCACAATTATAGCTGGTAGTTACATAGCCAAATTCATGCCAGAGATGACAGGCTGAAGTCTGGGAAACACTTGCCTGGCCTGTTTTTTTAGCAGCAGGGTTATTAATGGGCCCTAAGGGGAGAGAGAGAAACCAAGGAGCAAGTCCCCAAATCACTGCCCAGTTCTGCCCAGCTCAGTCCAGCCCCCACAGCACAGCCCGACTTTACTCAGAGAGGCTGTCAAACTCCCACATGAAGAACAGGACACTCACCAAGATCTCAGCAGCCACCTGAGAGCGGGGAGAAGAGAGAGGAGGGAGAGAGGGGAGGCAAAAGTCAGAGGAGGCCAGAGAGGATGGCTTTGGGGGCCCTGGGTGGAGCTGGCTAGGAGTGGCAGAGGTCCCATAAGACTCTAGGACTCCACATGAGGGGCAGGGAGAGAAAAATACCTTTCTCTGACCTTTGGGCTAGCACTCAAAGTGGGAAACAGGCCTGGGAATAATTAAAAATGTGTCCACCTGAGAGATAAAAGACCCAGAAATGGGAACACAATCCTTTGCACCCAGCAACCAGGAGTGGGCTCCATATTGGTTTGCTCATTTGAAAACTGGGAGAAAGAACTCCCATCACTTCCACACAGAGCCACTGGGAGGACAAAATGTGCAGGGTGCGGTATTCTCTGAGCCCTTAGCATGTTCAGAGTTGGAAGGGGTCAGGAGATACAGGAAGACACTGTAAGACAAGACAGCAGGGGTCTGTGGGAGATGACACACCTGGGGACACACAGTCAAGCAACAGAGCTGGGAAAGGCATTTTATGAGCATTCATTTTAATCGCAGCATTCTGCAGGGCATATGTCTGTAGCTAGGACACTATTTTGTTAGGTAAGTAGCTATTTCTTGGAGTGCCTGGGAACAAATTCAGTTGGCCCTGTGTGTGTGCCCAATTTCTTGCCCGACCACTTCTTTTCTCTTGGATAGACTGAAACCCTGGCCATCTCAGCTTCCCAACAGTATATGCTCTGGAACCTTCTTGTTTTCATTGCATAGATTGGCAATGTCTATCAAAAATGCATGTGGCATCTTGTTAGCAATGGTGGTGCTAGAATGTGCCCTACACGTAGATTGGCAAGCCCTCTACCACAGGACTAAAACAGGGATGTTTACTGCAGCATTCATAGAGAAAAAGGAGAAACTGGCTGCAGTTTATCTGATCAGTGGAGACAATCATGTAGCTTTTAAAAAAGAATGAGTCTGCCAAAATGAAGTTCAATCTCTTTGTGACTTCTGACCGAAGCAAGAACCGTAAAAGGCATTTCAATGCACCATCCCACATTCGCAGGAAGTTCATGTCTTCCCCTCTTTCCAAAGAGCTAAGACAGAAGTACAATGTTCGACCTATGCCCATCGAAAGGATGATGACGTTCAGGTCGTGCAAGGGCACTATAAAGGTCAGCAGATTGGCAAAGTCGTCCAGGTTTACCGGAAGAAATACATCATCTACATTGAGCGGGTACAGCAGGAAAAGGCTAGTGGCACAACAGTCCATGTGGGCATTCACCCCAGCAAGGTGGTTATCACCAGGCTAAAACTGGACAAAGACCGAAAAAAGATCCTGGAACGGAAAGCCAAATCTCACCAAGTTGGAAAAGAAAAGGGCAAATATAAGGAAGAAACAATTGAGAAGATGCAAGAATAAAGTAGTCTTATATACAACTTACATTAAAAACTACCTAAGTTGAAAAAAAAAAAAAAAGAATGAGTCTGGACGGGGGTGGAGCTCAGTGATAGAGCAACTGCTTAAGTTATCATGAGCAAGGTCCTGAGTTCAATCCCCAGAACCATGAAAAAAGAAAAAAAAAAATGAAACTGATCTACTTAATTTTACATAATTTATGTAAAAAATAACATAGATGTTGTATATAATAGTGTTTCTTCTGTCTAGATTTAAAAAGAAAACACTCTCATACTTGCTAGGAAGTACGCCAGAAATTGTTAGGGTAGGGCTGATGGTGTTTAACTTTTGAGGAGAGGGGATACAGGAAAAGATTATGCAGTTTCTTTTATTTACCTGAAATTTTGAGATCACATTTCCCCATCATGCAAATATGTTATTTTATTTTTAACTTAAAAATCAAACAGGAGTTATGAAGGTTACTAGGATTTTGGGCTGCTTCTGGGTTTTAAATACTCTACCATATAAAAACAACCTCGTTGAATCTGAGGACATTGTGCCAGGTGAAATAAGCCAGTCAAGAAATGTATGATCTGCTTACAGGAAGTCCCCACAGTAGTCAAAGTCACAGAACAGAGAACAGATTGGTGGTGGTCAGGGGCCGGGAGGAGGGGAACTGGGGAGTGACTGCTTAGTGGTTTGGAGTTTCAGTTTTGCAAAATGAAGAGTTCTGGAGATGGAGAGTAGTCACGGTTGTGCAATAATGAGAGTGTATTTATTGCCACTGTACACTTAAAAATGATTAATAAAGGGCAGGTGGAGTGACTCAAGTGGTAGAGCACCTGCCTAGCAAGTGTGAGGCCCTGAGTTCAAACTCCAGTACCACCAAAAAAAAGAAAGATCAATACGGTAAACTTTATGTGTATTTTATAAAAACTTGAAAAAAAAAACCCTTTTTCTACAGAAAACCTAGTATTGTTTAAGAAAAAAAAAAAAAGAGATGGAGAGATGTTTAAAAATTAAGAAAAAAAACCAAAAGAACATAAAGTGCCAAGCATTCTCATTATTCAGGTCAAAGAACCACCAACATATTTTCTTCAAAGTACTTTTAAGACAATATAAAAACTGGGTACTAAAATAAGATTCAACCCAAATCTTTTCCTTGTTAGCTTAGCTACTTCACTTAGAAGTTAATCTGGGCAATTCCTTGAAAGGTCAAACAGAATTGTCACACAACTCAGCGAGTCTCCTAGGAAATGACGATACATGGGCACACCAACACTTGTACATGAGTGTTCATAACAGCCACAGGTGACACAACCCAGACATCCACCAGCTGATTCATGGATAAACAGAAGGTGGTAAATATGTGCACTACGTGTACAGTAGTAATGAAAAGGAACTCAGTAATGAAAAGGAACGGGGTGCAAACGTGTCCTTTTTAAGTGAGAGGAGACAGTCACATACGGCCATATACTGTTTGGTTCTACCGACATGAAATGTCCAGAACAGGCAAATCTAGAGAGACAGAAAGAAAGCAGACTAGAAGTTGCCTAGGCCTGGGGGGTTGGGAGAAAATGAGGAGAGACTGCTAATGTATATGGGGCTCCTTTTAGGGATGATGAAATGCTTTAAAAGTGATTGTGGTGATGGTCACACAAGCCTATGAAGATATTAAAACCACTGAGTTGTACACTTTATAGGAATTGATGATATGGTATATGAACACTTCAATAAAGCTGTTTTTTTTTAATCTGGGGAATATCTAAAAAGGACTAAAATGCTTCTTTTCATTGTGGAATTATAATTAAGTTATCTACATTATTGTTGTTCGAACTGGGGTACGAAGGAGGAAGCTATTAACATTTACTATGGGACAAAAGGTGGAAACTGGACATACAGTCACTCTATTGATAACAGACCCACACTTCCACGAGCTTGCTGATGTTCTAGACATCCAGAGGAAGGGGCTGGGGAGGCAGTGTAGCCCAAGGCAAGCATTAGGGTGCATATAAGTGGGGAACTTGGTTCTGCCTATCAAACACCTTTGATTTTTGTATACATTTTGCTCCAGCATTCCTACCTTACCTCCAGAAGTCTACTCTCAGGGAAAAATCATGGGTGTGATAAGGGTTGGCTACCAGGAAGAGGGCTGGTTAAATAAAGTATGGTAGAGCTGGAATTGTGGCTCAAGTGGTACAGCACCTGCCTGGCTCAGGAGTGAGGTCTTGAGTTCAAACCCCCAGTACTGTAGAAAAAAAAAATTCCCAATAAAGTATGGTAGATTCGGATGTGGAATAGCATTAGCCATTAATTTTTGCTGATTTTTTTTTTTTTTTTTGTGGAACTGGGGTTTGAACTCAGGGCCTACATCTTGAGCCACTCCACCAGCCATTTTTTTGTGAAGGATTGTTTTCAAGACAGGGTCTCTCAAACTATTTGCCCAGCCTGACTTCGAACCGTGATCCTCCTGATCTCTGCCTCCCGAGTAGCTAGGATTACAGGTGTGAGCCACTGTTGCCCCAGCTTGTTGATTTTTTTTTTTTAATATGCAGCAGTGTACAGAGAACATTAGTTTTTAACTGTTATAAACCAGGAATCTATCTATCTACATACATAAAAGAACAATTTGAGTAATATATGCCATATATGCTTGTTACTATTAGGTTATGTATTTTTTTCTTTTTCTCTCTGTTTTCTAATGTTTCTATAAAAACAATATGTATTACTTGTGAAACAAAAAAAAATCTCTAGTTACAAGAAAGTGAGTCCACCCTGAGATCAGCGCCTAGAATTCTAATCTGGGAGGTGCCACACCTGGCAGGGTCCCTTCCCTGCTTCCACCTGGGTTCTCTCTCTTCCCCTTCCCTTCTGCAAAGCAGCTGCTGGCAAGGCCCACCACTGCCCCCTGCCAGCGTCAACTGGAAACACAGCCTCAGAACCGACCAGGCACCAGGCAGACGCTTTCCCTGAAGATGAATTTGGGACAAAGGATGGGTTCAGGGTGAGAGCTAAGATGGAAAGCTCCCCATGGCACACTGAGGCTGATGACAGTGATACTGAACAAGCATCTTTGAATGAGTGGATGACCTTGGTCTCAGCAAGACTCCCTAGGGTCTGGTTGGGGCCGAGGCTAGCTCCTGTATCATCACTGAAATAGCACACCTGAGTGGAACCTTGCAGCTTCTGACAGTGGATTCCAAAGCAAGGGCTGGACCACTGGACAACAGCTACCTGGTTTGGAAACTGCAGGGGAAGTGACCATGCTGAGTCCTGGAGGACAGTACATGGTAATGAAGGTGGACTTTGGCGTCAGCTAAGCCTGGGTTCCAAAAGAGCTTAGAAGCCCTTGGATAGGCTAGGAGCTTAATTTTCTCCAGTGAAAATGGAGTACTTTCAGTAAAATATAGAATGTCTTTTAGCACCATGGTCAGTATATTACAATTATAGTTTTGTATCATCAGGACACAGCTGGGATTTTTCTAGTTCAGATACTGTTGTACCACGTCACTGTCTGTTGGAACTGGTCGAGCAGCTATTTTCTTCTTGCCAACTGTGAAATGAGGGGGCTGGATTCAACACTGGAGGTGTTCATGCCCAACCCCAGGACACAGAGCTTTTGTGGCAGTGGGGATGAGGCAAGCAGAAGAGATGGAGCCCTGGCCCTGGCCTAGGTGGTGGATGCTGGGATCAAGGCCTAGGTCCATGGGGACCAGGTAGATGGCCTCAGTGTGGGCTATAGCCACAGGAATCCTCAGGGAAAATGAGTTTGGGGTTGTCCAGCCTCAATGAGAAGCCACTCCCAGACCTACCCTCCTCAGCTAAGAAGCAGGGCAGAAGCAGGGCAGAAGCACAGCAGACATGAGAGCCTGTGCCACGGTGAATACATCAGTGAGCGAGACAGTGATGCCAGCCTTAGGAACCTACTTTCTAGGCCTCTCCCGGGACACGCTCTTTGACCTTGGTCCCATTTTACAGATAATAAACTGTGACCTTCAATTTTGAGGTCTCTTTCCCACCAGGATCCCAGACCTGCTCCCTCTGGGCTCAATTCTGCCTGGGTCACTGACTTGCTATGGGACTTTCAGACGTCATCTACCCTCTCTGGCCTCCATTTCCCACTATAACCCGAGAGGTCTCACCTGGGTGATTTATGAGTCCCTTCCAGTTCTAAGGATCCTATTATTCACATGGAAAATGCCAGTAAGACCAGTGTCATGATCCCAAATCTCATTCTGAAAACCCTCAAAGTCTCACTTCTAAGGATAGGGATAGAGGGGTCCAGCGTCTAAGCATCTGTCAATCAAACCAGCCTCCCCCCTTGCCAGGGGCCAGCCTAGACACACAGCAGCTGGAGCCACTTGTCAGGGAAGCCCAACAGGGGTGGGCAGGAGTCTCACCTGAGCATCTTCCCGGGCCTGGTCCCGGTCTTCTCCGCCTTCCTCACGGTTCCCCTGCAGCAGGACCAGTGAGAAGTCAGTCCCTAATCACCCATCTGGGCTCTTCCCCACAGCCACACAGGCCTTGCTCAGTCATGACACCTCCCCAAAGCCCCTTCCTCATGTGCAATATGGGGACAACAAACCTGTCTTCCAGCAGGCCATCTGGGCCCCTAGCCTCATGCCTGCACAGAGAGTTCGATGACTGGCTTGAGGCCTGGTACTCAGATTATAGGAATTTGACACAGTGCAGGAGAGGGACACCCACATGGCTTTGTCCAGTGAGCTGGTGGCCCAAAAGGCCAGCTGAAAGCCATTCCCAGAGAAGGTGGTGCCAAGCCATCTTTGGAAAGGGAACAATGGGTATGGGGGGGGCTTTGAGAAGTCGAGTGGGGTGGTGTCTTCCCTTACACTCCATGATTCTTCCTCTCCTCCTGGCCTCTAACCATGAACTCACTCACCGTGGCCAGAGAGACGAGAACCCTTCTGAAGTGGCCGGATGTGTCTGAGCTCAGGGCGTCCTCCAGGGACTTGTGATAGTCTGATAGAGAAAGAGGTGTGGGCAGTCATTAGCAAAGATTTGGTGGTGGGGGCAACAGGCTTGGACCTGAGTGAGGGCAGGGGGATGATGGAGTTTGTCGTCACTTCTTGGAACAGCTAGTCAGCCTCCTGCTGGTTTTGTGAGACAGCTGGTATGCCGCCAACCCCCCACCTCCTCTGCTATGTCCCGGTTAGGTCACATCCAGCCTCTTCCATTTAGCATCCTCATTTTCTTTTTTTTTTTTAGTGGGACTGGGGTTTGAACTCAGGACTTCCAGCTTGCAAAGCAGGCACTGTACCACTTAAGCCACACCTCCAGTCCATTTTGCTCTGGTTATTTTGGAGATGGGGTCTCATGAGCTATTTGCCCATGCTGGCCTCAAACAGAGATCCTCTTGATCTCAGCCTCCCCTCTCTCATGGCAGCTACTAGACCTTGAAGCAAAACTCTGGCCACCTATCTCACTCTCCCACTTACACCGTCTACCATCTTAGTTACTTGCAAGAGAGAAAAGTTTAATTTTGACTAGTACTCAAGATTCTTCAGAGTACAGGGCTACTTGTTTAAAAAGTAGGAATTTCAAGGTAGCAACAGCATGGTGTACAACTAGGCAGGGAAGAGCCTTTGAGGGTAAGGGCCCTGGGTGACTGCTCAGACTACACACCCATGAAGTCGCCCTCTCTCTTGTTGGTGGGCTGGGATGCTCTCTCATCCCACCTCCATCCAAACTCTCCTCTACCACCAGTCCTTTGTCCTTCTGGGACACTTCTGTTTTTCCCCATGTGTGGGGCTGCATACACCTAAAGGGCTTATAAAAGCCTCATGGATACAAGGAAGGAGACAGGCTGGAGCTGTGGGCAGAGTTGGAAGTCAAGGCTAAAAGCTGGAGGCCTGGCTCTCTTCTCCTGCTGCCTCCCAGCAGTGCTGGGCCCAGGCTTCTCACACTCACCCTCCTTATAGGCTTCATTGATGGCCCGGATTTCAGCGTTGGTGCGAGTGGCCAGAATTTCAATGAGAGCCTTTTCATCTGTGCCAGCTCCCTAGAAGGCCCAGACAAAGACAATGTCAGTCACAGTCCTGACCCTCAGGCTTAGGAAGAGCACCCAGGTCCCCAGCAGCTTCTGCAAAGACTGGACAGTGTCCCTTTGGTGCCCAAACTATGATACCTCCATGGCCTTCTTCAACTGCTTGGCGTCATAGTGGGCCGGTGGCATCATGAGCCCCAGAATCAGCCTGGCCAGGTCTCCGGAGATCTCAGACTTGAGGTCAGCCATTAAGTCCTACAAAAGGCAGAGCCAAGCTCATGACAACATCCTCACATGACCCAGGATAGGGAAGAGATACGGAATGAGGAAAAGGGACTCTGTGTGGGGGTCTTGGGAGCCTGGTCTGTCTTTGCTGATGGTGGACTTATTATTTACAGGAAGCCAAAGGGAGTGGGGGCCAAGCAAGAGGTCGGTCTGACTCGTTGAAGGCAGCACTGTGAGATGCCACTTCCGTCCTGAGGAAGACTCGCCAGCCTAAGCCAGATACCACCAAGTGCAATAATCACTGACACTCAGGATGGGGCTTGGAAGCCAGCTTTCCCTGGGCAGAGGACCTGCAAGTCCCCAAAGCACTGCACAAAAACATCTATCCCTGATCCCCACCCTATGCTGCACCTGACTCCACCTAGCCATGTCACTCAAGTGTCATGGATCACAAGGAATTGGGAGAATAAAGAAGCATGTTTGTATCTCCCAGACCCAGCGCTGGAGACATTCCAAAATTACAAGCACAGGGGTCCCACTGGCAAAAGACCCCGGTGCCCAGTTGTACAGAGTTTCATCTGGGAAGTGGGGGTCTGGGGCTCAGGAGCAGACCCTTACCCGGCCAAAGTGAGACTTGAAGGTCTGTCGGATCTGCTGCCGCTGGGCATTGCTGCGATGTGTGATGATATCAATGATGGTGGCTTCATCGGTTCCTGAGTCACCAAAGCCATATGCCTCAGAGAAAGGCCAGTGGCTCAGCTGCCCTGACATCCCCCACTGATGGTCCCCACCAATCTCAGTCAGGGTAGAAGCCAGTCTCAGCAACCACACGCTCCTGAGTCCCTGCAGGCACCTTGCCTCTGGCTCAAGCCACTGACTTCCCCTCAATTCCTCCCCGGTTTCTTCCATCATGTCACTTTTTGAGCAAAAGGGACACTTAGGAGGGAGGAAAGCCCTGGGTTGGGCCTCCAAGTTCTAGCCCTGGCAAATTCCCTTCTCTTTTTGGACTCAGTTTCCACATGCGAAATATGAAGTTACTAAGGAATCTTTGCAACCTTACACTCTAAATCCTGTTTAAAATCCTGTCCTTTCTCTTCAACTCTCTGAAAGGAGGCCCCCAAGTCCCTCTAACCATGGCAGGGTGACTAAAGGCCTTAGGATACCACTTCCTGCCTCTCAGGAAGGAAAGTAAAGCTACCAACCTTAGATCTGGCACTGGACTTTATATTTCAAGAGCATTTTTACCTCTATCATCTTACAGTCCTAGATGTGCTTGCTGAGTTTGAGGCCCAGAACGTGAGGGAGTTACCCTCAAGGCCCCTGGGAGTTGTTGCTGGACAGATGGGAGGAGAGAAAGCAATGGAAGCGAAACCCTAGGGTGTTCAGTCCCCACCTGGGCTTTCTGAGCACAGGCCCAGCTTTGTGTATAGAGAAGACCATCCACTCAGAGTAGCTCTTTCTACTGCAGGCAAACTGAGGCCAGCAGGGGGCACTCCATCCCCAGGACTGGGCTCTTGGATTAGAGTCAATAGCCCTCATTTTACATGTGGTGGGATGGGGGGGAGAGGTGGAGGAGGGTGGGAATTTGAGACCCAGACCCATTTAAGGACTTGCACAAAGCCATGTAGTAGTGAGGGAGTAGCAAAGGCAGGGTATGAATCCAGGTTCATGGACCAGTGTTTTCTTTCATACCAGGCTACTGCTACCAGGCTACCTTGGTCTCCAGGAAAGACTGCCAAGTTCCTTACAAACCTTCTCACACCCCTCCTTCCTGTCTGAGGGAGCCAGAGTCCCCCTCATCCTATAGCCACACAGGCTGCCCAGAAGCCAGCCCTAGCCCTCACGTCCCCCTTACCGAGTCCCTTCATGGCTTTCCGCAGAGCTTTGGCATCTGCATCAGGGTTGAAATCATCAGCTGGGCGCACGGTTCCCTTCAGCTGTGAAGAGCAGAAAGAACCTTAGCAGGTGTCTGGAGGCCCCCAGGGGCCAGGCCAAGAGGTGAGCATGCTATGAGGGGAGGCTTTTTACAGAAGCCCCAAATCAAGCAGCCCGGGGACAGAGGCGGGGAGAAGGTACAGCAGACAGAATGTGCCCTTCAGAGACAGTCAGGCCTGGGTGCAGGGCAAGGGCTGGGCAAGGCAGAGTGACCACTCCTGCTGCAGGGCTTGGCTCTGTCCCAGCTCTGGTGGCTGTCTACTCCACTCCCCAGCCCCAATCCTTCAGAATCTTGCACTGCCCTAGGCCACTGTCTGCTGGAGAGGCCCTGCTCCCGAAAACACAGGCCAAAATGTTCTGAAATATCAGAACAGTTTCCAAATTTTAGTCGCTTCTGAATGGCTTTCATACTGCTTTTTTTTTGGCAGTACTGGGGGCTATTTCTTAACATTTACCTAATTCAACTTCTTTTCTATTTTAACTAAACATATTCTGTTCTACATAAACACACACTCTTTTTCTTTTTTGGGGGGTGGGGATGGGGGGTGGCTGGAGATCACACCCAGAGCTGTGCATCCTAAGCTCACACTCTACCACTGCGTTCCACCCCAGCCCCAAAGCAACCATTTTGAAGGGCTTTTAGGTGCTCCTAAAAAGCAAGGATTTTTGTCTATTTTTATTCTTTAGTGTATCCTGTTGTGGCAATGACAGTGCCTGACACATTAACAGGTATTCTTGCTAAGTTCTTGGTAAATTAATGGATTTTTCCACTTTATATTACTATCATGAATTGGAAAGTTGGTATCATATCACGAACATGATACCACATGAAAATAAATGTAAAAAAAAGAAATAAAACCAAAACATCAACAAAAACCAGGTTACCTATCACCATATTTAACAAGATGTCAGTGTTTGTCAAAAGCTCTGACTTTAAAGCCAGCTCCCTCCACTTTGTGAAAAAGGACAACTTAGTGTAGCAGAGGTGTGGCAACAAGCCAAGACTGCGACAGATCAGGAGTAGCTTTCTCACTCCATGAGGCTCAATGTCACCTGATGCCATGGAGGACAGTCCAGCCGCCGAGCTAAGCTCATTTCTCAAGTAACTTCAGGTCACCTTCAAGGCTTGTTCAAGCCTTTTAACTTGGGGAATGCTAGAGCATCAGTGCTCAAGAGCCTTTAGGTCACTGACACTGCCATGTCTAAGTCCCTCGTTTATTTTTGGCAGTCCTGGGCTTTGAACTCAGGACTTGTGCTTGCTAAGCAAGTAATCTAACGACCCCAGCCATCTAAGTCCCTCATTTTAAAGATGCAGACAGAGGCCCAGAGAGAGATGGAGACATGCCAAAGGGAGTATGACAGGAGCAGAGAGAATTCAAGGTCCAGCGTCTAACTGTCTCTGCAGCACCATTCATCCTTGTCCTTTGTGGACCCCAGGTCTGAGGGTGCTCAGGAGCATAGCCTTGCTTCCTCCAGTGCACCCAGAGGTGCCATCTGCCCTGAGTGTGCATGCCTGTGAGCCCGACTGTGGACCCCAGGATGGGAGAGGCCTCCATGGAACTAGTCAGGTCTCCACTCAAGCAGCTACTGTTAGTAGGGAGTGGGCCAGAGCGCTTTCCAGGGCGTGAGGGTTAATGCAGGAGTCAGGTGCCCCCTTGAAGTGCCCACCCACCCTAAGACAGGAGAAAAAGCTTCAGACGTGTACATTCCTGCCTCGGGTTGGCTGCCAGGGGGCAGCTGGGAGCCAACCAGAGCAGCAGGAGGTTATAAGCGAAGGAAGAGTGGAGGCTGCTGGTTGAGAGGTCAAGCAGAAGTTGGGGAGGGTCTGACCTCTACTCGGGACACTGCACTAAGCTCCCACATCTGATAGGCCACCTGCGCTGCTTCCGGGAAGAACTGGCCAGCAGCACTAGAATGGAGGGGGTGGGAGAGGATAGGAAGATCATCATGGGCAACACTCCATGTGTCCACCACACACGCACGCCCACTCATGCTCGCATGGCTGGCTCTACTTTGTCTCTGGCCTGTGCCTCACCCATTCACAGAGCCCTCCCTCCACTCCTGACTCTTCGAGAAGCATACCCTAGTGCTCACTCTTCCCAGTATCCTTGCTGGTCCCAGGCCCAAGCAGAACAGGACCTTTCCAATCTTTCCTGTCCCCCATTCTTCCTAACAATGAGGGTGACTTCTGTCAAACTGGTCTAGGGACAGGATGTAGCCTCTTTACCCCTCATCTCCTCCTGCCTCGCACTTGGTGCCAATAAGAGTCTGTGGCACGGGATTAGTGGCCCTATCAAATTCACTGGAAGCTTTTGTATCCCTTCCTAACACCCATAACTGAACATCCACGGCTCCCTCTCTACAATTTGGCCAAGCCATGGACCGATTTAATATCCTGGGAAGAAGCCCCAACCTGGCCCACTTCTCTGCCTCATTTCTCTCCCTAGAGTTCCACAATGAAAAGTGTGACCTCAGTTATGTAAATGAGCCAGGCCACCTCTTTGCCTTCCTGCTTGGGTCTCACCCTCATTATCTCCAGAAGCCCCCAATCTGGGCTGGGGTGCCCGTTCCTGCTTCCACATAGACTTTGTATTCGGCACCTACTCCTCCCATTGCAGGGCTGCCCCTTGGCATCTGCCTAGTCTGCAGTCCTTCCTGGCTGGGGGCTTGCATGGCCAGGAAGGCACTCAATACAAATACGTAAAGCAGGGAGTAGGCAGAGCCCGGACTTGTATTTCCCCATTAAAATAATACAGGGTGGCAGCTACAAAGTAACAGGGTCTGGACACCCATATTCTGATTCCTGGTCCAACTCCCAGAATGACTTTCCAAGTTCACAAGAGCAGACATCTCCATGCATGGGAAACCACACTCTGACCAGACACACTGAGCCACAAACCCAGCAGACATACGCAAAAGCCACCTTTCACCTGCATGGCTCTCAGGCCTTAGAGGAAACTCCTGCTTATTCAATCCATCCACCCACGGGGATGGAAGCCAGGACAACCACAGGGCTGAAGAGCCACTTACTCATCATCACCCCCACACAGCTTCAGCAGGGCCTTCTTGTACTCGCCAGAGGTGTCATTCTGGGGACAAAGAAGAGGAAAGGTGACCTAAGAGCCCCAGGCTCTTCTCAGACTGGAAAGGAAAGTTCTACATGGCCCAAAACAATAGAAGGCTGAACACTCATCATACCAGCCCTGCCTCTACTTCTGCCTGGAGGTGGCTGAGACCACTAAAAGATGGTGTGCTGGGCAATATTTAACAACTGGCTCTCTAGGGAAATTTAAAAAAAAAAAATTAAGAAAGAAAGAAAACACCCTGGTCTGTAGCATCTGCCAATTTCTGTGGTGTAAATACTTCCAACAGTGGACCATTCAAGCTGCCAGTGTGATTTCATTAAGGATGGAATTAGAGATGCTCACTGCTCTCCCACACCAGTGTACACACTATTGCCACCAGAGTACCCCACCCAGCCTCCAAAAGGAAATATTCCACAGAATTAGGTCTCCATGAACAAAAACATTGGAATATGCTGAAGGTCAAACACACACACACTGTTGGAGACATACATTGATGTAGGTGGCAGATTCTATACTTAACAGACTTCAAAATATTAATGGCTATGAGAAGTTTGGGGGAAAAATACTGGTTTATCTTACTCTAGCTTTTTCCAAACATTTCCCCATGGAATGTGGTTCACATAATACCTACAAAATTTCCTCTTTGGAAACATACTTTGAGAACACAAATTGGATGTCTTCCCTGCCATCCTCACGCAACTTTATTCTACTCAACCAAAAACAAACAAACAAACAAACAAACAAAAAAAAAAACCAAGAAACCCCTAACTTTATAGCTATTTCTTGACCAAGCCTCATGGGCTGGATACCACAGAGCCGTCATTAATCACCCAGCCACGGCCAAGGGTTCCCCAGTGCTAACTCCCAAGTGAAAGTTCTTTCACTTGAATTCTTCAACAGCTCTCTTCTTCCAGGAGACTGAACTTTCACTGCTCCTGGAACAGAGTCCTCTTCTGGTCTTCCTGATCCAGCCTGCCCTCCTTTGTAGCCTCACCTCTCACAGGCATGCCAACACTGGCCTTCCCAGAGCCATCAGCAAGGGCTCCTGAAATCCGAGGACTCCCAGCTCTCTGATAGCACCTTTCTCCTGGGAATGGCTCTCACATCCTCCATCCTTCCAGAAAACTCTGTCCCCCTCTCCCATCAGGCCTGCTGACCTTGATCATGCTGTAGAGGGACTTCTCATATTTGGTCCGGAAGATCTCCCGGATGTCCAGCATGTCCAGCTCACTCCGGGAGACCATGATGCGGATTAAGGTGTTGTCCCGGGTCCCCAGGCCCTGGTGACAAGCAGTTTTGAGTATCAGGGCCATGAGAGAAGGCTGGGGTTCTGACAGCCCCCAGGTTAGGCAGAAACATCATTTTCAAAATGAAAGTTCAAGAATAGATGAGGCAGACACTGACTCTTCTTGCTTTGACCACTCCATCCTTCATTTTCCTTAGAATCTCACCATAACTTTGCAACTGTGAGCAACACAAGCTAACTATGGTGCACTGGATGACAGAATGGCCAACTGTCCATTTTGACCTTTTGGGATGGCCAAGCAGGGCCAGGAAGACCCCAGCTCCTGGGCTGTGGGCCTCTGTCAGCAAATGACCACATTCATTCACTCTGGTGAGCATGGAGACATCATCAGTTTCTCTGTCATGTGTATAATAGCCTGGGAAGTTCTGGTCGCAGAACAAACCCAGAGTGGACCTGCTGGGTTGTAAGGATGAGCAGAAGGTGCTAAGGTGTTCTCGAACAAACAACCTTCTGGTCAATACCCAAGCACATTAACCCACTGCACCATAGAAATGAATCAAGATGTTCTCCAAAATGGCCTTACCTATGTACTCTGTACATAAATGTTCTGGATAATTACTATTTCTTTTTTTATTAGCATACATTGTACAAAATAATGGATTTCATTGTGATGTTTTCATACATGCATACAATGTACTTTGATCCTATTCTTCCTTCCTCATTTCCTCTGGTCTGCTTAGTTAGGAGTTTTTACAACATGGGCTACCAACCCATTGGCTGGATGGCTCAGGGAAGGCTGCTGCCACACTTCTAACTGGGCATGAGGTCAGGACAGGTAAACAGTGGCAGGACATGAGATCAAACACTGTCCCCAGTGTGGGGCCCACAGGGGAGAGAGTGTCACCCCAGGGCAGTCCTGTGGCTGCTCCCTAAGATTCTCTCTGGTTAGTTGACATCAAGGACTTGCCCAAGAGTCCCCACGGTCCTGTGAGGTGGGCAGAGGCCCCCTCCCTCAACCACACTCACACCAACCCCACACACCTTCATGGATTTGAAGAGCCTTTCGGCGAAATACTCCGGGGTGCTCCGGATACATTTCACTGGAAGAGGGAGGAAGAGGTAGGTTATCCCAGCTGCCTTGGAATGGGGAAGGGATGGCTGTAGCCCTTCTTTGTTTCTATCTGAGGGGCCACCAAGTTCAAAGACAGGAAGAACTCTGGTTCCTGATGACCCTTGGCCCTCACCTTGAATTGACTTTTTTTTTTTTTTTTTGGTGGTACTGGGGTTGGAACTCAGCCTCATGCTTGCTAGGCAGGCACTCTACCACTTGAGCCACTCCGCCAGCAGCCCCCCTGTTTGCCTTTATCACAACTCAGGGATAAAGAAATCAGGGAAACTGGGCATGGTGGCTTACACCTGTAATCCTAGTCTCTCAGGAGACAGAGATTGGGAGGATCTGAGTTTGAGGCCAGCTTGGGCAAAAAATTAGCAACACTCCATTCTCAACAACAACAAAAAAAACTGGGCATGGGTGGGACATATCTGTGATCTCAGTTACTAAGGAGGTTTAGGTAGGAGGACTGTGGTCCAAGGCTGGCCCTGGGCAGAAGCGTGTGAAAACAAAGCAACTAGATCAAAAAAGGGCTAAAGACATGGCTCAAGTGGTAGAGAGCCTGCCTAGCAAGAGAGGCCCTGAGTTCAAATCCCAATACTGCTTCAAAAAAAAAAAAAAGAAGGAAACAAGACTGTTGAAATCTGTGTATAGTCCCATTTCATCTATAGTTCTTCCAGGTTTCACTGGGCCTAGTCAGGGGTGGACTCAGGGTGGAGACGGGAGAGGTGTTTCTTTAGGTTCTGCCACACTGGAAAGGTATTAGCAACAGAATCACTTTGGATCTTGCTGGCAGAGCGGGCCAGGACCCTGCTGCTTCAAACAGGGTTGGAGGGGGACAGCGCTGGGTGGAAGATGAGGCCAAGGTACACAAACACAGCCTACACGTCTCAGCCACGTGGACTCTTGGAATGTCAGACTTGCATAGGACTTGGGTTGGCACTGCCCCCATTCATCAGGTGAGGAAATGAGGCCCAACAAGGCTCAGTGACTTGTCCCAGCTCAGAAGCAAATTTGAGAAAAGCCCCGGGTTTCAATCTGACCCTTGCCATTGACTAGTCAGCTCTGGTACTCCTCACACCCAGAGCACCCCTAGTTCATTACAAACTGCCCCTCAGCAAGGGATTCAGCCTCTGTGGGCCTTGGTTTCCCCACCTGTGAAGTGGGGACAATGACAGTGCCCATCCTTGTGCTTTTCTAAAGATTAAACACTTAGGCGGTGCTTTTGGATCGCCATTATCCCAACCCCAAGTTTGGTGCCCCTTCTCCTCCTACAACCCTGGAGAAAGTGGTGGGAGGAAGTCAGCACCCAAGGCTCAGTTCCCTCCCTTCCTGGCCTCAGCTATGCCACCCCAGCCAAACACTTAGGGCTTACAGCCCATCTGGTTTTCTCCTTCCCAGCTCCTCACCATGGAGTTCCTGTTTTCCATTCCTGGCCCCTGCTTCCTGGGCTGGGATTCCAGAACCCCTTAGAGCCCCTGTGAATCAATGTCAGGACATACCCACGGCTAGCATTAGCTTCTCAAAGTCCCCAGACAGCTCCCCTCGGATGCTGGCTTCAATTGGCTTCCCCGTGGTCTTCAGGTACTCATCAAACACTGAGTCAGACAGAGAGACAAGATATCCCAGTGCCCAAATAACACAGAGAAGGAGCAGGAACTTCTGAAGCAGGGACTCTGAGGACCTCACTCTCCAACATGAAGGTGGGACTGGCACTTCTGTGGAAGGCTGAGTGATCCCGTTAATGATTGAGGAACTATGCAAACCACTGTCTAATAAAATCAGGGCTAGCCTTTGGGTTGGGGCTGAAGGTGCTCTCCTGTGCCACCAGTGGAAAGGGATTCTTGGCACCACCCCAGGGAGGCAGCCATAGGTTTTTTTCTGGAACATACCCAACCGGAGATGCTGCTTGCTGCGATTCCCCAAGATGTAAATGAACTGGGCCTCATCAGTTCCCCATTTCAGTTCCCCTGCCTCGTACAGGTCCTAAAGGGGAAGAGATGGGACTTAACCGCAGGAAGAAACCTCAGGAGACAGGCAGGACACCCAGATCAAGGCACTCAGAACAGCTCACAATCTTGAACATACTAGTAACTGGTGGCCCCTGGACCTTTGCACATACCTCTTCACCTTTCTTTCCAGAGAAGCTTCTTTTATGGCCCAAATTAAATGTCCCTTTTCTTTTCTGTCCCTAGGCAGAATTCTCTTTCCTTCTCTCCCTCTCTAAGGCTCCTATAGCCTTCTGCTCTTTATCACTTTGACCTTCTGTATGTTATGTCTGTCTCTCCACCACTTCATGGGCTGCTCAAGGACAGGGGCTCTGTCTGGCATTCTTCATAACGACCCTTGTAGTGTTAGTGGCACTGAACCGTATGTCGATAGGACGGTGTTTGTGGGATCAATGTATGTGCTGATTTTGTTCATTAGTGATTTCCTTGTGCTTGGCAGAGTGCCTGGCACACAGTAGGTGTTTTTACTTCAAACAACATGAAGTAACTGAATGAATAAAGCAATGATTAACGTGCCAAAGTATCTCCTCAATGTACGTTATATACCTTCGAAAGACACCTTCAGTCTTTTCATCAACAAAGCACTGCATGAATTGTCTGTGACCAGGTATTTCTGGTATTTGATGCAAATGACTTCACCTCTGGCCCTTCCCAGGTCCCCCAATCTCTTTCCTCTCTCAAGGCTCTTTCTTGCTGTGCCTTGGGGACCTCTCTTGGTGCCAGCTTACCTGGACATCCTGTTGAACCAAGTCCTCACTCACAACATCGTCCTTCTCCCTGGTTCCCTGACAGAGAGATAGGGAATATGTGTTCAAATACCTCAGGCAGGAGGGAGGCCCAAGTGCCAGTGCTGGAAACAGGGAATGCCAGAAACCCTGGTGGCCCAGAGGTGTCTAGGAGCAGTGCCTGGGTTAGGAGAAATACCAGCTGCCCTTGGACTGAGATGATAGCATCTATTTCCTAGGGAATCACAGGATTTCTCTCCCTGGACCTTCCCTGGCCCCTCTCAGGACCAGAACCACACAGGAGTTCTGAGAATAGCCAAGATCCTCCAGGTGTTGCCTCCCACGGGAGGCAAGCACTGAGCCTTACACTGGTGACATCTCTGAAGTCAGGGCCTGAGGTCTGAATGGCTCTAGTCACAGATCCTGGTACTGCCTGTGACACCTGCCAACAGTGATGCCACAGGGCACAGTACTACACGTTTGGATATGCCCAAACACTCACCAAAAAGAATCTGGGACTTGATCTGAGCTCGCAAGCCCAGAAGGCACCAGGCCCTCATGGTGCCTCTGTTGCTCTGCCCAAGCCCTGTGCCTCACCTGACTAAGGAGAGTAGGAAGGTGCTCAAAGGGAATGGGACAGGCCATACTGGGTCTTGCTTATGGGACAGAGGTCTGCAGTGACCAGGTCAGGCCTATCCTATGCTTCATCCTCTCTTCCTGACATTGTACATTTCAGGGTTTCAGGGTCATAGACTTCCTGGCTTTCCTTCGGGACCGAGCATGAGACAGAGCCGGCATGCCTACAATCTGTACACAGCACTGGTACTTGTGAGAGACTGAGGACCAACATCTCTAACTCCAAGAGATGGGAATCTGCAACCGCCCCCGCCCCTGCCAATAAACAGCTGTGAAAATGGGGCAGAGGTCACACTCCCCCACTCCTGGTCACTCCCTGGCTGCTTTATACAGGATGTGGGTAGCTATTGTCATGGGAGGAGTGGAAGAGGAAAAAATGACATAAACCAGGGAAGGAGGAAGACAGGAGCAGAAAGAGGACAGAGAGGTGGCTTAATTTATACATGAAGCTTCAGGAAGTTCTTTTTGGAGCTGGACTTCAGACATGCAATGCCTGTCCCTACCACACCTGTGGTCACAGATGCTCCCATAGGGCCGGGCAGGTAAAGGACAGAGAAGCAGGCAGGGGGTGCTGCAGATCTGTCGTTGCCAGAACTTTCTAATAAGCAAGAATCCAGACATCTGGTTTTTGAGCAGAATCTTTCTTTGTTTAAGGGTTAAGAATTAACTCAAAATCTTGTTTTGTTTTGTTTGTGTTTTAAACACATTGTATGGGAAAAGAAAAAGAAAAAAGATCCAATGGGGCAGGTTGAATCTGGCTTTGGACGCCAGTCTCCAGCCTCGTCCGAGCCCCTTTTTGATGGACCCCTTGGGTGAGTTGGGAGGCAGTGGAGCTTAGCTGTGGTGCTGCAATGCAGGTAGCTCCAGCCACATCACGTCCCTGCTGGTGTCCTGTGCATGGCTGGAGGTCAGAGAGGGAAGGTGGGGTGCAAATGGAGAGGGGGAGGAGGATTCTGGCCACTGGAAGGCAAAAGTGGGTACAAAGCATGAGTTCTCAGAGTCTATACTCAGGTGAGCCAGCAACTCTCAGGCTCCAAGAGGAGGGAACTGGCAGTGGGGTGGGAGGTATGCCTGCCACAAGAGAGCTCCAGGGGGAGGTCTAGAGCTGAAGTGTGGACCAACCTGGAGCAGGACCACGAGCATCTTCTGGAAGTGGCCTGAGGTGTCACCAAGGATGTCTGACTCCAGGTCTCGCTCATAGGCTGCAAGAGGAACACAAGCTCTCGTTTCATGGGGATGCACGACAATTGTCCCCTGCTGCCCCCAAAATGATTCAATATTTGTTACAAATCCCAAAACCCAATATACATAGCCGCCAGGGCAAGACCCAGCTGTCTCCTCAGGGCTGCTGGCACCGTGACATTAAGAAATGGAATCTATCTGTTTCTTGCCATTCTCCCATACCGCCCCCCTGTGGGCCCCATCAGCTTTCACCTAGACAGTGACTACAGCTGACAGTTCTCTTCTATCCACAGCAACAAGGATAACTGTTTTAATGCCCATCTCCAATTGTAAGACCCCTGCGTGTCACCAGACTCAGAGTAAAACACCATCTCTCTCTTGGCCTATGAGGCCCTGTGCGATCCTGACCTGCCCTCTGCATCATGAGCCTCACACTGGCCACCAGGCTTATTTCTACCTCAGGGCCTTTGCACTTGCCGTTCCCTCACCCAGAGGAGTGGAGAGAATTCCACTCTTTCTATAAGCAGTTCCTCACTTCCTCCCCGGATAGGCTTTCCGTGACCGCTGAAGTGACTTTCCCTCCTGAAAGCCTGACTCTTGTTCATTTCCTTTGGAACACTTAAGAACAATATGTCATTATCATGTTCACCTGGTGACGCATTATCACTATCTTATGGATCTTTGAGATATAAGAGGCAAGGACTATACTGGTTTTCCCCACCAGCATATCCCAAGAACCTCGCGCTGCCCAGCACCAAGTGCACATTTATTGGATGGACAGAAGGGTCACAGGGAAGGAGGAGAGAAGGTGGGTGGCTAGACTGAGTGTCCTCTCCCTCTCAATCTTCATTTCTGAGGTGCTGAGTGTCACCTCCTGCCCATCTCACCATCTTTGTAGGCTGCCACCAGCTGGTGGATCTGCTCATTGGTCCGAGAAGCCAAAATCTCAATGAGACACTTCTCATCAGTACCGATTCCCTGGAGAAGAACAGGGGCGTGTTAGCCAAGAAGGGAAGGCAGGGGTCCTGGAGTGGCCTGGGCTTGGTCACCCCCAGCACTCAGGGTGCTCCTACCTCAGCTCTTAGGCGCCAGTAGGGAGCTGCTGCCACAACACTCAAAAGACATGGGTGCTAGTTCCAAGCCAGTAGCTTGCTGTGTGACTTCTTGTTAAGAAATGCAACCTTGGGCTGGAGCCAAGGCAAATGGCAGAGCACCTGCCTAGCAAGTGCAAAGCCCTGAGTTTGATTCCCAGCACCTCCAGAAGAAAAAAAAAATGTGGTCTTGCCCTTTTTTTGCCTGGTTGCTCCTTGAAAACAAGATGGGTCACCAGCAGTTTCAATGGAGCCACTATAGAAATTCAACCCATATACTGCCATCAGGAGAAAGACAGTCCTCAGTAAGTGGGACTGAGTGCTCTTGCTTGCATGGACTATCCAAGACAGCCACCCAATCAAAGAAGCTAGGCTAGGTGTTTATACATAAAAGACATATTTTAAGGGTAGAGTTCAGGCTTAGCAAGCACAAGGCCCTGAGTTCAAACCCCAGTACCATCAAAAAAAAAAAAAAAAGGAAGGAAGATATACAATCAAGGGCTTTTATTTATTTTTTTTTACAGGACTTGGATGGAACCCAAGGCCTCACGCATGCTCAGCAAGTGCTCTACCTCTGAGCTGAAGTCCCTGTATCAAGGGCTTTTTTCTTAATTTCCTCCTTCTTCCTAGAGGGCAACCCTCTGCCTCAACTAGAGGGACCCTTTTTCATACTGAGCAAATCTCCACAATCCTTTCTGCCATTTCTCCCAGCCTGAAGTGACCTCCACACTCCTAGCTACCAAATCCTCTCTGGGCCTTTGGACTTCACTTGATCCTCCCATCTTCCTAGATGTCCCCTTGGGCCATCACAGGCCCAGGGTCTTGCCCTGTTGATTCTCTTTAGTGTGCCCTGGCTTGTGGCTTCATATCTTCACATCCTGCTTCCTCCAGACCATAAACTCCTGTGTAGAGTTCTGAGCCGAGAGCCCCTTTCACGGGGCCGGCTTCACACTGACACCTGTCCACATCTGTCTGGAGTAGATTAGGAATCCACTGTGGGACAGGCTGCCTCTCAAAGACGACACACCTGCTGGGCAGATGGGACTTAGTGAATGCTTGCTGTGGAGCCCGGAATCTTCCATTACATCCACGGCCCATCCCAACCTAAACAATTGCACCCATACTTCTTACCGAAATGGCATCTTTAATTTCCTTGGCATCACAATAGGCAAGTGGCCTCATCAGACCCACAATCAGCCGCTCGAACTTTCCTGTCAGTTCATACTTCAAGTCTGCAATGAGGTCCTGGGGGTTGGGGGTGGGGAGAGAGCAGCTATGATAGGAAGGTCACATAATGAACACTTACCCTGACAGGCACTGGGCTTAGTAACCTACCGCATCACCGCTCTTGGAGGTGTGCGCTCTGATCATTCCCAGGACCCAGCCTTACCAACCTCAGGCAACATCCTGAAGTCACGTTGCTAGCAATTGGGCCATGCAAGTTCCAGTCCCCAGCACTGCACTCTTCCCCACCACTGTGTGCTTCCTTATTTACTGTGCACCTCTCCATGATCTGGGAGTCTTATTCCCCAGTGGAGCCCTAACACCTGCATGGAGCCCAAAGTACAGCAGGTGCTGTGAGTACACATGAGGCTGCAGGAAGAAAGAGCAAGGATAGGTTCAGAGGCAGAAGAGCCAGCACAGAGGCTGATCTGGAGGAGAACATGATGAAAAGAATGTGGGTAACTCACAGATGAGTGACAGCCTTCCTCCATCCCCACCCCACCAGCCCTGGGTTTCCATGGTTACCTTGCCATAGAGGGACTTGTAGCTCTGGGTGATCTCCTGCCTCTGCCTGTTGCTTCGGGAGGTGATAAGCTCCAGTATGGCCTCCTTGTCACTGCCTGGAAGAGGGGAAGGCAACTGTCACCCCACCCAACCTACCTCTAGGAAGCTTACCAGGATTGCTTTCTTGCCTGGACACACAGAATTGATGGGGACCTGTTAAGGCCCCAGCGAACAGGATCATAGCACACACAGTATCTAAGGTTAGAGGGATCTTCTCACTGCACAAGTAAGGAAACTGAGGTACAGAGAGGAGCAAGGACTTGCCCAAGGCCTCACAATGAGCCTGACTTAGAAATCCCAGGTGTCCTAACACCCAGCATGGTGTTTTTTTGGTCCCAAGTCAAATAAAAGAGAGCAGTAAACACCAACTTGAGGGTAATGATTGCCCTGAAGAAAGGCAGGGGAGCCATGGGGAGGGGGCCTATCAAGGAGACCTCAACTGCACCAAGAGGCACTCTTCCTTAAGTTGGGTGGCAGGTCTACGGAGAAGGCTTTCGTTACTCTTTATACCTTTTTGTTGACCTGAAATGTCTATGAATCCTCATTCCTACAAGACCCACTGTCAGGGGCTTGGCACCCACCGAAGCCCTTCATGGCGGTGTACAGTGCCTCAGCATCCTGGCTGGGGTCAAAGTCTGGGAAGTCACGAATGGAGCCCCGGTAATTGCCACCCTGTGGAGAAGAGCAGAGGGTGAAGACTTGCTGAGCTCTGTTCGCCTGCAAAACCAAGTACTGATCACATAAACCCTGGACCACCTGTGCAGCCTGCCCAAAGGACAGTGCCACTGCTCCAAGGTAGGGTGGCATGGCCAAGGCCTTGCATCTCCTGCTACCCCAGGAAAGGGTTAAAAAGTCTGGCTCAGTGGAGGGGGTGGAAATAACCTCAGTGAGACCAAAAAGAATCCCTCCTACTTTCATGGCACTTTACAGTCTACAAAGCCCTTTCACCTCCATTAACATGATGATTCAGAGTACCTTAGTGCATCTGAATAGACAAGCAGCCAAGTCTAGAGAAAGAAGCCACTTGTAGGAAGTCACACAGACCCCAGGCCTCATCCCTGCTCCCCTCTGCTCTCTAACTATAAAACCTTGCTGCTGCCAGCTACTCAGGGGACCCAGAGCCACTCTCAGGTTCAATGACAAAACGAGGGCTGCCCCTATGGGGCCAGTAAACTTAGCTGTGAACTGGTATCTAAGGACAAGCTGGCATGGTCTCTAGAGGTCAGGAGAGGAGGGCAGAGAGCCAGAGGATCTCAGACATCGGATCTAAACCTGAATGCACAATGGGCCGGTTCACAGAGGAGTCAGATGTGGGTCAGCCACTGCACTGAGAACTACAGGGTCCTGGAGAGAAGCTGGGAGAGCCAGGGATGCGGGAGCCCATCAGTACTTCACCTATGCCAGGCTCGACGCTAGGGGTGCAGATTCAGGGGGAGAACAAGGATCCCCATCTCTGTCTTTCCTGGGCTCCCAGCTGGCAAGGAGAGACCAGCATACAACTCACAATAAAGCTTGTCACAAACACCTGAAGAATTAAGCAAGGTAATATGAAAACAGCAGAGGCTAATCCCAGGTTTGGTGGGGAGGGGAGACCAGAAAAGGCTCCATGGGTGAAGCAGCTGGAAGGATGGGGAGTGCCCACAGACACACCTTCAAGGAGTGAGACACGGTCAGGCACTCAGGACCCAGACAGGCCTCCTGGTTTCTGTCTGCAGAGGCTAACTCCCCCGAGGCATGCATGCGTGGGTTCAGTGTTGCTATTTAAAGTTCCCACAGAGCGGGTGACCAGAAAGAGACACGGCTTTCTTCCCACCATCCGTGAATCCCCTGCAACCTGATCACACCCTGGGCAGAGAAGGAAAGTACAACAGACCAAATACTGGACTAGGGCACCTTGCAAGGAGCTCAGCTTTGCCTCTAGCCAGGGCTCCCTGGGCCTTATGTCAGACCTCCAGCTGGAGCCTATGACATTCCTGAGGTCAGCTCTGCCCCAGGCAGGCACTCTGATCTAGGAACCCCACAAAGTAGGTGCTAGACCTGGTCTGTGACTACTCAGAGACTGCCAATGGGGGCACTCAAGTCCTTGTCACCAGAATAAGTGAGGGAGAGGACAGAACAATGGGTGTCCTGCTGGAATTTTATCTCAACTCCAATCCCTTTTGCATCTCTGGACACTCCCAGTCCAGCAATATTGGAAAAGAAGAACAGTCAATGTCAGCTTCCAGGATGGACGGAGAGGGGATCAAAATGACTGCTTTGCAAGGAGACTTAAAGACACTTTAATTGAGCTTTCTTCCCCGTTCTTGGCTCCATGGGAGACTGGGACTGAGTCATAAATAAGACAAATACCTGCATGAGAATAACTGGATCCCCCAGCACCAAGCACTGCCCAGCAACAGAGACTGAAAAGGGTTGAGGTGGAGGATTCTAAAGAGGAAAGCGGCAGGGAGGACGCCTGCCTGACACTGGATTTCTGTCTAGTAATGTTCTCTGCAGTGCTGGAGACACCTGTGACTGGTGTTGGAGTACAAAGCTTTAAAAGATGTCAATAGGGGCCGGGTCCTCTAGAGTCTGTCTGGACCCTTTGCAGGTTGCTTTTGCCATGACCTGTGATTGCTTTTCTCTCCACCTGTCTGACCCAACACTTAGGGGGCTGGGGCAGGAAGAGTAAGAGCTCAAGGCCAGCCTGAGCTATACAGCAAGATTCTATCTCAAAAATCCAAGGGCTGGAGACATAGCTTAGCGGTAGAGTGCTTGCTTAGCATGCATAAGGCCCAGACTCCTTTTCAGCAGGCCATGACCTCACTTTCTCTGTGCCATGACCTCACTTTCAAGGCTAGAGCAAGGCAGTACTGCTATCTAATAGTTTGGATCCCAACTATTTCTCTCACACAGACACTCATGTTTCCAGGACAGGCAGCTTGGGCCACCCTACTATCCATCTAATTACCCTTCCATTAATTCATCTGCCTGTCCATCCACCCATTCATCCATCCATCCATTCATTATCCATCCGTCTATCCATCCATCTGTTCACCTATCCACCCACCTATGCACCTGTCCAACCAACCATTCATCTGTCTGTCTGTCTGACTGTTCAGAAACATTTACTGAGCATCTTCTGAGAGCTGAGCTCAGGACCACTGAGAACTCATAGTTGGGTAGGTCAACTGCAACCATAATACAGTGTGGTAGGTACTATGTTAGGGGTAGCACAGGAGACAGAAAGAAATACTCCCTTAGGAAGCTCTGTGAGGGCAGGGACTATGTCTGACTTGCTCACAGATGTATTTTTGGCACCTGGCACAGGGCTGGGCAACTGGGTGCTCACTCAGTATGTTTCATAAATAGATGAATGGCTGAACATGTGCAAAGTAGATCAGAGCAGTCTTCCTGGAAGTGATGTCTAGTTGAATTCTAAAGAATGAGTAACTGCTGGGCCCAGGGGTGGTGGCAGGGGAAAGGCATCGCATGAAGGAAACACACAGCAGAGGTCTGGGAGGCAGTGAGGAACATTTGGGAAAGCAAGCCCAGATTCTTGAGTACTTTGGGACTTATACCCAGAGTCCCTAAGCTCATGCACTAGGACAGGGCAGTGAGGGGTTGGTGGGGGGCAGGGGCTGCACTGGAATGTGATGCAGAAGACAGGGATGCTGCAGGGATCCTTCAGGGCTGGCCCAGGCCTGCTGCCTAAGTCAGGACCTGGATAAAGCAAGGCTCTAGTACCTGGCACTGTCTTCACCCATTAAACAGAGCTGACCACTCATGACACTGTCCCCAGGGTTTGACATTTTTTGTTAGGTTGAACCTAGCAACATAACTTGCCTTTTATGTAGATTAAAAGCAGTTAATAGTAGCAAGTTGCATATGGTTCAAACCAATCCCTTTCTCCAGGCTGACATGTGAGATCTAGAGAATTAACTTGTCTGCTGGGCTGTGGATGTGTTAGTAGTAACAAGCGCCAAGAGACACCTGAGAGCAGGTTCTTCAGAGTTTACAATCTCATGCCCAAAGTCACTGCCAGAGGAGACCAGAAGACAGAAGTGTGCTCCCGGGATGAAGGGTAGAAGACATGGTAACAAGCAGACTCCACTTTCCCACTGCGCTCCTCTGCCTGACCCTTCTTCTTCCTTGAAAAGCACATGTGGGTTGTGGTGTTGTTTGGGGAAGGGGCTGAAGGTGTCAGAAGAGGAACGAGTGCCACGCTGGGGAAGGATGGCTAATGGCCTACATATGTAGACTACAGGGTCAGCCTCCTATGTAGCTCTTTGTATAAGAATAATAAAATCTTCTAGGTAATTACCTGCCAAACAGTTATCCAAGACTCCACATGATCGTGGTCACTATGAGTAGGGCTAGGGCTTTTGCTCTGGTTTCATTTAGAATCATACAGACAGACCCTCAAATCATCCAGGCCTGGAGTTCCACTGGCAGTCATTCTCATATACATGAAGTCATATATGAAGTCTGTATCTTTAAGTGCCACCTGTGTGGCTGCTCAGGCCTCTCCTCACCCACCTGCCCCTGAATGTCTGCCATGCCTCCAGCAGATAGGATCCTGGCTGCAGGTACCCATGCTGGAGGGAGGGGAGAGAGAGAGAAGGGACTTTCCACCTGAAATATTCAGCAGGTCCTGGTGCCAGCTGGTGAGCAGCTCAGGCCCCGGGGCTCTGCAGTCAGAGGCCCCACCAGGTTGCTACTGTAGCAGGTGTCCTAGGCCTCCCAGTGCAGAGGCAAATGCCCCAGAGACGTCTGCTTACACCATGTTCCAGCTGAGAGCAGCCTGACTGGGCTGCCCCAGGCTCATCCATGCAGTTCCTGGCGTTACAGGCATGAGCACCTGCCCTTCTTGCCCTGTTGAAAGTGTTTTTATCTTCACTGATGCATTCCAACCCACAACTTCCTCATGAAACTGGGGCTACAGAGCTGTGCCTCCTGGTACCATCTACGACATCAAACTCTTTCTTCATGCCTTCATGCCTCATATTCCTCTTTTGGAAGGGCACAGGGAGGACAAAACCAGGGTGAAAGAACACAGAAGAGTAAGCATTCTGCTGTGTGTGTGTGTGTGTGCATGTGACTGTCTGCACTCGTGCATCTGTGAGCATGTAGGGGTCATGGAACTAGAAGCAGAGTTAAGAACTGGAGGCAGTAGATACAAACTTCAGCTTGCTGGAAGAAGACCCATCCCACATGAGGGACTCCAAAGGCCCTGCCACCCTGGGATTTTCTTGCATGGAGTCTACTGGCTCTTGGTCCATGGCAATGAAAACCACTCTCACCCAACCTGAGAGTGTTGGCCAGGATCTGGGGTGCAGAGCTAGGATTCCTGGTCCAACACTCTCAGGCAATCCCTGACACAGTGATCCCTCACTCTGGCCATGGAAAGATCCCACTCTAAGCCACTCATGATAGGTCTCAAATTCTACCCCCTAGCAGAGTGATCAGACAGCATGAAAGACTAAGGATAGAGTCTTCCAAGTCACAGGGCTGGCAGAGTAGCTCAAGTGGTAGAGCGTCTGCCTAGCAAGTGTGAGGCCCTGAGTTCAAACCCTTGTACCACCAAAAAAAAAAAAAAAGAAAAAGAAAAAAGTCTTCCAAGACAGGAAAACTTAACCCCAAATGGGTGTGGCAGGCAACACCTCATCTCCAGAGCAGAGAGCACCCTCTATTATGTGTTTTTGCCTGTCCAGTATCCATTTCCCTCCCTGGACAACCACTCTTGGGCCATGCAGTTCAGGTGGCACCCTCTCGACCTCCTGACTGCAAGTCAGAGCATGCTGCGAAGACTCAGGCAACAGGAATCACACCTAGGACTTCTGGAATCATTGGGAATCAGTTACATTGTTTCCCCTGCCTATGAAGCCTAGAGGTGCTGGTGATTCGGTGCCAGGCAAGTCACTAAGTGGCTTAGGAACCTACCCAAGAATAAAGTCACTCAACAGAAGCCTGGACCCCTGGATCCAACTGGACCAGAAATCCTGGGCTTCCCAGTCATTTGAGCCAACACTCATCCTTTTTTGCTTGCAATAGTGTGCATTGTCATTGGTGACTTGATCTGAAGAGCTGTGACTTTTGAACTGCTCCTGCTCCTTTGGAGCTGAAGCCCTGCAGTAGGCCCAGTGACGCGAGGGGGACCCAGGTGTTGGGGAGGCGGAGCATAATCTCAGAAGGGAGGACCCTTACCTGTGCTGGCTTGGCCATGATCTGGAATTCTGCAGCAGAAAGCACTGTGAAGAAAGGAAGAGTTGTGAGATGGCCCTCTTCATTCGTTCCCAATTTCCTCACCCTATTCTTTTCTATAACTCTTCAGGTTATAGTACATCTGAGACCTGACTCAGGGCCAAGCACCATTTTTCAGAGGACAATAGCTAGACTAGATGGTGTCTAGACCGTCACATGAACAAGGGAAAGGGATCTGACCTCTGACCCACCACTGCCCGGATACCTCCAGGCCCCACAGAGTACATGCATCTCATGTAACACCCCCAGCCATCAGACACCCTTCTTTCCAGAGGAGGAAATGCAGTATGAGCATCAAAAGGTGTGGTCCAAGGTAAAACAGCTGAGAAGGGAATCCAACCATTTCCCGAGTCCAGAGCGCATGCCCTCCCTGCCTGCTCTCCAAGTCACAGTGCACAGCTGCAGGGCTCCTGGTGGCCTCTCTGCGGGTGTCCTTCCAGCCTGGGTTAGTGGGCACTACCTCTCACTTACTCCTAGTCAGGCATCACAGTAGGCACTCAGGACCCAGCTGCAAATGGGCAGCATTTACAAGCCCCACTCCACTAGGGCAGAATGACAAACACATACATCAAGATATAATAAGGAGCAAAGTGAGCTGGCAGAGTGGCTCAAGTAGTAGAGTGCCTGCCTAACAAGTGTGAGGCCCTGAGTCCAAACCTCAGTACTGCAAAAAAAAGAAAAAGAAAAGACCAAGAAAGGACAGGTACAACCCCAGATAGGTGGTCAGAGTGTCTCATGAGGGTACCTAGGGCAGTGGTAAAAAGGAACACACAGAGCACATGATCTCACTAGAAATGGATAAGGAATACAGGGTGAGGGTGTCAGAAGACAGGGTCTACAATGAAGGAATAAGGGATACAGGTATATTACCTAAAAACAAATGAAAAGGAGATGTCCCTGATTTGGAAAGGGGAAGAGAAGCAGGTGGGGGGTGGGCTAAGGAGCACTCAGACAGGCAAGGAGGAGAGTTAAGGAATCATGAGCAAAAAAGCAGGGACCACGCTCTCCATCTGAAACAGGCCTGTGCAGTCTGACCTCTTCAGCCATGTACATGTACTACTTTTTAAAAGTAACAAACTTGATGGAACTTAGCAAGATCCAAGAGGGACAGAACTACAATGGTGGGTGAGACCCAAGTGACTTGCCAACTTAGCGCTCTGTCCCCGAATTTAGGAGAAAGATTGGAGAAATCAGCTCCCAATCTCAGTCCACAATTCTGTCCTCCCTTGTGGTCACTAGGCATGGCATGACACAGTGGAGAGAAGGTAGGTCAGATGGATAAATACTTGTTTTGTCACTTATTAGCTATGTGACCAAGGGAGTATGGCTTATTTCTGAGTTCAAGTTTCCCTTGAGCTAGGGCTTCCCTTCCTTGCCTCATAGGGTTGTTGAAGGATGGGACTTCAAAGGCAGAGCAGTCACATTCTCAGTAGGTGGTGGCATTCACTGTAATGGTGTGAAGTTGGGGACAGGGACCTTGTCAGTTTACCCGTGTCCCCACTGCCTGAGTATAAGTCCCCTAAACAGCAGGCAGCAAAGGACAGTCATCAGGTGGGGCTGGGAGTGAAGGACAGAGGACAGAGATTTGCCTGCAAATGCAGCCGACTCAGCTCAGCTCAGCTCAGCTCAGTTTGAGGAAACCATGCTGTTGCCCTGGCAACCAGGGGCCTCTTGGTACAACTGTGCAGCTCTCACCAGGAAGTGGAAACTGCACCCCTTCACAGTGCGTGTGTGTGTATGTGTGTGTGTGTGTGTGTGTGTGTGTGCGTGCGTGCGCTGACTTCCTCCCTAGGATTGGGCTGGGGGCCAGCTGTGGGATTCCCCAGGCCTGGGGGACAATGAGGGAATCCCAAGGCCATCAGAGATAGGGACTGTATGAGGCCCAGGAAGTCAGCTGACACAGGGGAGGGAGGGCTGAGGCCTGTCACCTGCACATTGAAGCATTTTCCTTTGGCCTTGTTGCTGGAAACTTCAGCAGCTGGCTGCCACCCAGGCCATCTGGACGAGAGCCCCTTTCCAAGGAGAAGCAGCTCATTGGAAGAAGGAGCCTCCAGGCCTTTAGGGAAATGGTCTCAGCTCTGTGCATCTGTGTGAGCACGTCTCCTGTGTACGTGGAAAGCAAGCTTCTTCCAGAACTAGATGATCAAACTGTGGTTCTGAGAGCTAGTCTCCCAGCTGATTCCAACAGCCCCTCCTCTAGAGGCTCAGAAAAGCCCTGGAACTAATCACAGATGTGACATTTGCATTAACTCTGGGTACAAAGGGCCTCAGAGCCCTCCCAGAGCAACTCAGAATACTTCTCAAACTGGCTGAATGTTCTATATCCAAAAGTTCCAGAATCCCAGGAGGCTCTGAGCGATCCACACTCTGTCTTTTATTTTCTAGAGGGGAAAAAGCATCTCAGGGAGGAAATAAGACTTGTCTGGTCTCAGGCAGCAACTCTGTCTCAGAGCCCCAGGTCATAGCAAGTTCCCACACAGCAGAGGGCACTGGCCAAAACAGGACATTGGGAAGGAGCCAGAGGAAAAGGCCCAGAGTCTGGTTCCTATTCTGCTGCTGTGCAACATCAGACAAGCCAGGTTTCTCTATGGGTCTCAGTTTCTTCATCTGTAAAATGAGGACAAATCTATCACTCCCCCTTTGGGAAGCTCTGTAGAGGACATTTTCATAGCACGTGCTCCTGGGAGGGTTCTCCCCCAGAACCTGGGATTCTTCCCCTTCCGGTCTCTCCCTCCCAATATGCAACTTTCATCACCTTGATCAAAACAGTTGCTCAAGATAGGCAAACATGGCCTCTCTCTCCTCCCAGCAGCCCTGAATCTCTTCTGGCCTAGACACCAAGGATGGTTTGTCATGGCTGATCACTCCAGAAATCTATTCCAGGTAGAGGCCTGGGTGGCTTTGTGCAGTGTGGCCCCCTACTGCCTTACCTTTTAGCCTGGTATCAGCACACCCCTCCTTCTGTCTTGGACTCATCGGGGTGACTCCATAGAAGCAGGTCACCACTGACCCTCCCACAGAGGTACACAGGGGCAACGGGCAGGTCTTGCCATGTCATGGGAAGGTGTGGGCTTTAAGGCACAGCTGTTCTTTACCAGCTTGTGATTTTTGTAAGCTACTTAAACTTAACAGCAATTTCTACTTTTTGGAAACTGGGGTTTGAACTCAGGGCCTCTTGCTGGAGCGATGCCTCAATTTCTACATCTTAAAAGTCACACAGAAATAGCAATTTGTACTGAGATAACAGATGAAAAGCACTTAGCACAGCGTCTGTACATGGTAAAAAGCCCAATAAGTGGTCATTTTTATTACAGTTAGCCCAAGCATTTACAATGGAAGAAGCCCATGGTATGGCAATAAACACAAACTTTTTAAGTCAAGGTCAAATTCAAGTCTTGACATGACAAATTCCTAGCTCATGACCTCTGGTGATTTATGTAACATCTCACTGCCTCAGTTTCTTTATCTGAAATGAAAAATTTTAAGGTTTTTGTAAGGTCCTGGAAGGTCATGTAAAAAAATCACCCAGATATGGGAGGGAGGGCAAAACATCCCACATCAAATACATTTCTTTGGCATATGTCAAGTTGATTACTCTGCAGACACAAGAAAGGCCGGGAAAGTTGTCCAGTTATAGCAATGCAGTACTTCATTACATGAGAAACGTCACAGTGGGTACAGGAAGAGGCTGATACTCCCCTTTCTGCTATGGGGTCTGACACCTGGCCCAGACAGAGAAGACCAAAGGTAGCCTAGATCTGGGAGACTTCACCTGCATCATAAGACAATCCTTGTCACTGTGCCCCCAACCTTCCACACCAGCACCCCCAACCTTCCAGGCCAGTGTCACCTCCCTTCCTCCCAGAAGCCCAAGCCCCAGCCCCTTGTTTAGCTCTGTAGAAGGCTCAGTCATCTGCTCTCTTTGAGCCTTATACATTGCCTGGCTTTGGTGACATTAACACAGATGTATAAGGTTCCCTGTATAAGGTCAGTTCTATTCATAGATTAAAATTCTTGAAACTTGGAAGAAAAGAGTAAATTTAAAACAGCCCTACACCTGTGTCAAAGGCGTGCCCAAAGGCCTGTAACTTATGAGCCAGTGGCGCCTTTGCTCACGGGCCTCCCAGGGTGCCTGGGCTTCAAAGCCAGCCCTCTAAGCTTAGCATCCAAGGTTCTGACTTCTTGGTCTTCTCCTTCTTCCTCTTCAGTCACACTCTCTCCTCCCCCTATGCCAGGACTGCCCTCCACCAGCATTTTCTATCCAGCCTTCTGGAATCTAGGTCAGTGCTTCTCAATTCTGGATTTATTAATACAACCTGAGGACTTTTTCAAAATTATCGAAGGCCAGAGATTGACTCAATGGTTCTGTGGTGAGGCCTAGGCTTTGGTAATTTCTAAAAACTTTTCTGGGTGATTCTGACTTGCAATCAAGAAGGTGAGAATCACTGCTCTCTGCTGGATTAAAAGCCACCTTTTCTGTGAAGCCAGGAGTGATTTCTTCCTCTTGGGAACCCCACAGAGCTCTGAAACCACCTTTCCTGGACTGGTTTTGGTCAACCACTGTGGAGTCATTCTCCCTCCATCCATTGGCTGGCCTCCCGGCACTTCAGGGAAAAAAATCTACATTTCTCTGATTCTAATCTTTCACTGTCTCTGGGCTATTATTCCTTGTAAGTTGTAGATAGCCATGGTATGCAAAATAATTCTAATACTTGTTCATTCCGTCCCTGTCTGGGAAAAGTCCAATTGGCTTCCTCTCCTGAAGGTGGAAAACCCAGTTTTGTCTCTAACTGCATATTCCTTTCAGTATAAAGGTATCTACGACTCCATTTTGAGCTGTTACTAGCATCTGGTTGGACTGGCCATTTGTTAATGAACAGAATAAAATCTTTTGCAACACAAGACCATTTTATATCTGTGATTTCTGATTTTACCCTTTTTTGAAAATTATTACTGTGTATCTTCTTCGCTATAAACTGTTAGAAGTTAAATACCTGCCTATGGCAAGTGGAGGTGGCTCCTAAGGATTTTTGGGTAACATTCACTGAATGACTATGACAGCTTTTTTTCTTCTTTTGGTGGTACTGGGGTTTGAACTCAGGGCCTTGAGCTTGTCAGGCAGGCGCTCTACCACTTGAGGAACACTGCCAGCCCTTTTTACTTTAGCTGTTTTTTCAATAGGGTCTTGCATTTTTGCTGGACAATCCTGGACCTTGATCCTGCCTCCCAAATAGCTGGGATAACAAGCATGTACCACCTTGTCAAGCTTTTATTGATTGAACAAGATGGGGTTTCCCTAACTTTCTGCCCAGTTGGCCTTGAAACTCGATCCTCCCAATTTCTGCTCCCTAGTAGCTAAGATTATAGATGTGAGCTACCAAGCATGGTTATGAAAGATTTCCTTAGTGACAGCCTTGAAAAGTCACAGGAAAAAAAAAAAAAAAAAGAAACAACTAGCCAAGGTACGCTTTACTCCTCACTGTACAGCCAGGAGAGAAAATAACTTGAGAGGTTAGGTAACTTGCCCAACTCCAGACAGAAAATTACTAATTAACCTGGGACCCATTTTTCAGAACCTGGTTGCTACTGAGCAAACCAGGCTCACTAGTAGGAGTTGGGGAAAGAACAGAAATGAGACAGACAAGAGTCCTGCCCCCACAAAGCTGGCAGTCTAATATCACAGGCTGCAAACTTGTTTGGATTTTATACATCATCAGCAACAAGAGAAAAAAATTGAACATTTATTATGATGAACAAAAATATACTTTTAAAATAGGATATTCAAAGTACATATAAAGCTTGATAGTTTCTTTCTGTACCCTGAAGACCATCTTCAGAGCTCTTTGAGGTGTGTCCACTCCACTTTGAAGGCCCTTGGCCTATAAAATCTAGAATGTTTGGGGCTGGGGTTGTAGCTCACCACGTGCTTGCCTAGCATTCATGAAATCCTGGTTTCCATCCCCTGAACTAAAAAAAACAAAAAAACCCAATCTAGATTCTTCCCGCTCTCTCCTTTTCTGATGGGTCTCCCCCAGCCACAAGACGACACTTAGGAGCTGCCAAAGGCCCTCCAGGAACCTCAACTAATGGAGCCAGGGTAAATGTCATCCCTGGCCCTGAGCCTGGGCACACCCCCCAGCTACAGGCACTCAGATTTCTTAGAGAGCGGTGACTTCCCTCTCCTGACCCAGAACCATTGATCCCAGGCTGGACAAGGCCCCGAGAGGTTGTCTTGCTGCCCCAGCATTGGAAATGATTTGGCCTGGGTTTGAGACCCAGCTCAGGTCACTTTTATGAGGCAAAGTGCAGAGTCTCACAGTACAGCCTGGAGGTAGACTACCTGAGATTGAAGCCAGAGGTGCTATTTAAGAACCTGTGTGGCCCTGGGCAAATATTTCACTTCTCTGCACCTGGCCTGTATATAAAATGAGTATAAAATTAGTACCTCCCTCAAGAGTTAAGGTGAGGGTGAAAAGAATTACAAGTCTAGTGCTCACAAGAGGACCTGGCACCTGGGAAGCATGACAGAAGAGCAAATTTTACTCCTTCCTTACTTGTGAGAGCTGGTGTGTCCACATCTCCAAACTGAGCTAATAACACCACTGACTGTGTTAAGAGTCCAGCTGGGAGCTAAACAAGTTGTAAGGGTTCACTCACTATCAGTGGCCACTGATTTATAGCTATTACTTAAGGTCACCAGGATGCCAGTCTGGGAAAAGAACAACCGGAGGCTCAGATGGCCTGCCTTGTCGGGTACCACACCCTTCTGAGGTCACAGCAGTAGTACCCACTTCTGTTTTAGAGCACTCTACAGTTACAAGGCACTTTCATATCTGCCATCTCATCTTGTTACCTCATGAAGGTATCAGTCTCATTCTCCTTTTACAAATGGAGGATCTGAGGCTCACAGAACCCACAGGCAGGCATTCTTCCACAGCCAGCCTCTGTGGGGGCCTCTCAGCCCAGGAGGAAAGAAAGTGGGAATATGGTTGGATGTCAAGCAGTCTATAAGATGAAGACACCAGCTTACACGCTTCTTCTCCTCTATTGGCGGGGGCAGGGAGCATACTCAGGAATCAGTGTAGAGACCACTTCCTCTGGAGGTCTGCACCCAGGAAGTCTCTAGGAGAGGCTGGGTGGGGGTGCATCTGGGATACCATGGGGCCTCCCCAGAAAATGCCAGAGTGGTACAACAAAAAGAACCAGCAGACCCCAACCACTTATGAGCTGGATATCTTGGGCACAGGTCTCACCCCTCCAGAAAGGAAGGAACTGGGCCCAGCTGGGTAGGTGTGCCCAGGGCACCCAGTTGATTGGTGACAGGGTAGAGGCTGGGCTGGGGCCTGGTGTCCCTGGGCTCCATCTGGGTGCTGCAGTGCAGATGTTCCAGCCCCTGGCAGCCACCCAGAACTGCAGAGTCCCACCCCCACCCTGCCCCAGGATTTGCCTGCAGAGCCAGGCTCTGGCCTTCCCAGGGCAGCCCCCGACTCTGCACTCTCCCAGCAACAAACCAAACCACAAATCCATTCTACATCCCAGCAGACAGAGCCTTAGGAACAAAGAGTAGGAAGCAAAGATGGATGAGTGACAGTCACAGTTGCAGAGGGGGATGGAGGCCTCTGCCTTCCTCCCTGTCCAGCCCCACCCAACTCCCACAATCCTAAATCTTAGAACAGCTGCATGCTGCTAGGAGGCCATCACTGAATAGTTCAGCAGTCTGCTACAAGCAACAAAAAGCCCAGAGGGAAAAGGGGCTATCCAAGGACTTCAGTCCACCTGGAGCTGCAATCAGTTTTCCACGACCCCAGGATGGGATCGTGAGGTTCAGGGCCTGTGGGTTAGAAGGTCAGGGCCCAGAGGGGCTAAAATGGTGACAGATACTCATCTGATAGGGCTAACCAGGTCAGGGCATCCAGTCTGGGTGGGTGACGCCCTGTTTCAAGGTGTGCTTGGGGAGGGGTGGCGCAGTGAGGGGAAAATGGGCAGATTCTTGGGAGAAACCACAGTTCTTTCACAAACCGGGGAGCCATATGTCCAAATTTGGAATTGTCTGGGAAGACCCACCAAAGTTTAAACAAAGGGAAGGGAGGGAGGAAGCAGGGCCAGACTGAGCCCTCCCAAAGGACCCCTTTTGCTTCCCCTCCCCCTTTCAGGGCCTACAAGGGTGGCCCAGACATCCCAAATCTGTGATTAAGATCCCCAGACCTATAATGGGTCCGGGCAGCTGACAAATAAATTCATTTTCACAGCCACTGTGGAAACAATGGCTGGGTTTATCAGCTCCGGATTTGGGAGAAGGAAATGGAGGCTCAGAGAGGGAAAGCTACTAGCTCAAGGTCACACTGCAAGTGGAGCTGGGCTTTGGATTCTGGATAATTTACTCCCATCTCGAATTTTGGGAGGATTCTGAAGTCGCTGAGCTTTGAGAGGCACACACTGAAGCTTAGGGGAAGCAAAGAGAAGGGTAGGGCCCTGCCTCCCGCCAACAGCCCTTGGAGGCTCCTTCACGGGGAAGCAGTGATCCAAAGTGGCAGGAGGATCCATGGAGACTGGGGTATGGCCAGCCGGTCCTTCCCCTGTCTGCATACAACCCTCCCCGACCCCCACACAAGCCATCTTCAGCGGGAGGGCTCCACACTTCATGCTGTCCTTGGCCTCAGTCACATTCTTCCCAGGGGGTCTTTAGACAGCGTCTGGATGCCCTCAGTCCTAGGCCTTCAAAGTTTCTTCACTCTCCCAAATCAAGGCTAGCGCCTGCCGCCTGCCCCCGGCCTTGGCCACACCCTCTGCAGAGCCCCCATCCCCATCAGGGGCACAGTCGGCCCACGCCCCTCCGCCTGCAGCCACGGATCTGCTACCCGCGCTCCCAGACACACCCAGCCCGCGACACTCCAGGCCACCGCGCGCTCCATTCCCGCTCTCCAGAGTCGGGGCCGGGGCTTCGATCCGCTGGTAGCGCGTCCCCGCGGCCCTGGAGGAGGTCCCGGGATCGACTCCCGCTCTCCAGCTCAACCCACTCACCGCGCGAAGGAGGCCTGTCGCGGGCGGACGGACTGACTGACCGACGCACGCACGCGCTCAGCGGAGCTCTCTGGGTCGCAGTCCGTTAGCTGTGCAGAAGCAGCCTCGGCGCAGCCGCCGGCGGGCGGGTGGGGCGGGGCGGTGGCTCCAGACCCGACACGTGGCACGCAGGAGCCAATCCCGTTCGGCCGCTTTCGCCCCGCCCCTGCCCCGCCCCATTCCCGCCCCCGCCCCCACCTCAGTTTCTCCACTTTCGGAATCTTAGAATGTCACCAGCTGGAGGGTGCGGGGAGGCATCCGGAGAAGCTGGAACCACGATCAGTTCTCTGTCCCTAGCCCTAAGATCTAGAGAAGGGAGGAGATTTGGCCAAGGTCACGCAGCCATCCAGGGCTAGATGTCAGGGCTCCTGACTCCCCCTTCTAGACACTCACCCAAATTCTTCCTACTCCAAGGCCAAACCTTTGTTGAGAAGCTGAGGCCAAGCACCTTATCTGACTGCTCAGATTTCATGCCTCAACAGCCCCATCGGATCACTGGCGTTATTTACCCACTTTCCAGGGAGGGAGAACCCGCAGGAGGCCACACAACTAGTGAGTAAGGTCACACAACTAGTAGGTTGTGGAGTGGGGATTTGAACTTGGACCTAATGATTCTAGATATTTGGCTCTAGGGAGTGAATAGAGTGTGTGTGTGTGTGGGGGGGGAGTGAGGACATAAGTAACCAGGGCTGTGTTGAAAACCAACAAATTCTTTGGGAGTCCAGAGGGAACAGAGATAGTCAACCTTTAACCCCCAGCACCCTGCTCAACTGCTCTGATTTTCAGTTTGCTCGAAAATCAAAGTGTCATCCTCAGAACCTGTCACTGGTCCAGAGAATTCCAACCCTCCAACAAGGAGATCCTGTTGGATCTGTCTTTTCATTCTCCCAACAAACCTTCGTTGAACACCTGCTGCATGCCAGACTGAGATGAGCAAGTGGAAGAGAGACCCCATGGAGCTTCTCTCTTAGGACGGAGATCACTGTTTGAATGCCCAGGGTGTGGTAATATTGAACCTGTGGAGGGCTATGAGGTCTTCAGCAGGTGGATACAGCCTAACCCAGGACTCTGAATGAGTGATGTCAAGGTGCAACCAGAAAGAAGAGCGCCCTCTATCAGGAGACTGAGAAATGCAAGTCGCCATCATAAGATGAGGTCTGTTGGCTGGACCAGTGAGGATGGAGGTGGGGTCGCCTGAAGCATCGTGTGAAGGACTGAAGGACGGACTGCAGGAGGTCCCAAAAGGTGATAAGCGGTCTAGGAGACACCTCTCCTCCCTAGGAAACGCCCGTTTGCATCTGAAAGGCATCTCCGCCATCAGGCAATGCAAATAGGCTATAAACCCACTTCCCTCCCTGACCCATGGGATCGCCGGTTTCCGGGTCCCCCTGCATTCCCCAATATGCAGTCTTTCTCTTCTCTTTTCTCCAACTAAATTCTCTACAAATAAAATCTTTCCGACCTCTGCTGTTACAATCTGTCTGTGCTTTCATTCTCAGAGCAGGCTCAAGAACCCTGAGCACCTGGTGTCATCCGTGCATCACGTGGATGGAGTTGCCATTTTCTAGGAGCCAGCACCTACTTGCAGTGTCATATTTAATCCTCATGACTCATTGGATAAATATTTATCCACCACCTACTATGTGCCAGGGACTACTTTAGGAGCTTTATTACAAAAAGAACTCTGTTCTCATAGAGTCTGCTTGCCAGTAGAGGGGAAATAGATAAAAAATAAGTAAATATGACAATATGTGAGTAGACGACAAGTGCTGTGGACAAAAAGGAACAGCAGGTGAAGACAGCCAGGGTGACAGGTGAAGTTGCAGGATCACCCAGGGTATTTGGCAGGGGCTTAGACCAGAGTGAGATTTGCATAAGATGTGGAGGAGATGAGGAAGTTAGCCGAACTGAACAGATATGGGTGGAAAGATTTGGGGGAAGGAAACAGCTGGGCCAGTGCCGCCTTGGCGGAGGTGTCCCGCGATGTTGGGGACCGCAAGGGGGCGCAGGAGAGAAGCGGTAAGGCGGGACCAGTCAGGTCCGGCAGGTGGACTCTTTCAGGGACTTTGACTTCTACTGAGTCATTTGGGAGCCATTGCAGGACGTGGAGCAGAGGAAGGACGTGACCTTTAGGACATTCACAGGGTTGGGCAACCCCTGCCTTCCATCTAGTTCCAAAACACTTTTGTCATTGCAAAAGGAAACCCGTACCTACTTGACCCCCTGTCCCTGGCACCATCAATTTGCTTTCTGCCTAATTGGATTTACCCATTTTGAATATTTCATATAAATGGAATCTTACAATATGTGCTTTATATGTCTGCCCTCCTTTATTTAGCATGTTTTTGAAGTTCATCCACATTGTAGCATGTGTTGATCCTTTATGCCCTTTTATGGCTAAATAATATTTCACTGTATGAATATACCACATTTTGCTTCTCCATTCATCTATTGATGGAATTTGAGTCATTTCAACTTTTTGCTTCTTCGGGTTTTTTTGGCAGCATTGGGGCTTGAACTCAGGGCCTCACATTTGCTGGGTAGGTGCTCTACCACTTGAGTCACTCCACCAGCCCTTTTTTTGTGATTTTTTTTTTTTTCTTCAAGATAGAGTCTCATGAACTATTTGCCAGGGCTGGCTTTGAACTGTCATCCTCCTGATTTCTTCTTCCTGAGTAGTTAGGATTACAGGTGTGAGCCATTGTCACATGGTAGCTTTTTGGTTTTTGTGAATAGTGCTGCTGTGGACACTTGGAAACACTTATGTGAGTGCCAGATTTTGGTTCTCTTATATATTTACCTATGAGTGAAATTGGTGTGGCCATATGGTAATTCTATGTTTAACATTTTTGTTTTCTTCAGTGCTGGGAATTGAACTCACGCCCTTGTGTATGTTAGGCAAATGTTCTACCACTGAACCCCATCCCCAGTCATCTATGTTCAACTTTTTGAGGAACCACCAGACTCTTTTTGCACAGCAGCTGCACTCGCTGATGTTCCTGCCAGCACAGTACAAGGGCTCCAATTTCTCCACATCTTTGCCAACACAGGTTTTTTGTTTTGTTTTCTTTTGTTGTTGTTTTGTGGTGCTGGATTGTACCCAGAGCCTCACATAGACAAGTGCTCCACCACTGAGCCAAACACCTGTATTTTACTCATTTTAAAAATTGCAGTCCTAGTCATTATGAAATGATATGTAATTATGGTTTTGATTTGTATTTACCTACTGACTAGTAACTTTGAGTGTCTTTGCATGTGCTTGTTGGCTTTCTGCACATCACTTTGAGGACATGTCTATTCAAGTCCTTTGTCCATTTTTAATAAAGTTGTCTTGTGTTTTTGAGTTGTAAGAGCTCTAGATAAGATTTTTTTTTTTTTTTTTGTGGTGCTGGGGTTTGAACTCAGGGTCTACACCTTGAGCCACTCCACCAGCCCTTTTTTGTGATGGTTTTTTCAAGATAGGGTCTCTCGAACTATTTGCCCAGGCTGGCTTTGAACTGTGATCCTCCTGATCGCTGCCTCCTGAGTAGCTAGGCAAAATATGACATATTTGCAAAAGGGTCACTAAGGATTCCTTTTTGAGAATATTGAATACTGTTGGAGGGGGGACAAGATTAGAAGAAAGGGATCTTTTAGGAGATTTTTCTTTTTTCTGAGACAGAGCCTCCCTGTGTCACCCAGGCTGGCCTCAAACTCTTCATCCTCCTGCCTCAGTCTCCTGAGTGCTGGGATTCCAGGCATGCATCACTACCCCTTGCTTTTTCGGGAAGTTTTGCAATTACCAGTCAAAAGATGCTGGTGCTAAGCCAGAGTGGTTTAATGGAGGTGGCGGTAGTGCTGGCTGTATTTGAACATTCACTGAATGTGATTTCCTGGAGGACCGATGTGAAGTTAGGGAGAGAGGGAGGAAGCTAGAAATGCAGCGCAATAGTACAACACTTTGGGTAGAGGCCCTGGGTTCCATCCCCAGCATGGGGGTGGGCGAGGGTGTCAAGGATGTTGGCCTGAGCCCCATGAAGGGAAGGATTTACCATTTTAGGGGTGAAAGATCAGTTCCATGTTTGACCTATTGTTTAAGATTTCTAGTAGGCATAAAGAAGAGACATCAAATAGGCAGTTGCACAGGTATGATTGGAGTTCAGGAGACGAGGTCATTAGGGACAAGAGAACCAGGACCAAGCTTGAGACACTCATGAAGAGAAGATTCAGCAAAACAAAGGTGACAGAAAAGAGCTGGCAGCAAGGTGGGAGGGTGCAAAGGCATCTGTGTCCATGCTGCCAGCAGGTCCAGCAGGACCAGGCCCAAGTCTGTCACCAGACTTAGCAACGTGAGGTCAGTGCTTCTCTTGCAGTGAAGAGCAGAGTGTGGGGAGCGGGGTCACTGGCCTGCTAGGAGCTGGCTCACAGTAACAAGTAAGCAAGAACTTCTTTCCAGTTTTGCTGGAAAGCTGGCAAGGGAGAGGCAGTGTCAGGCTGGGAGCTTGTGCCAAGAGAAGGGCTTTTTATTGTTGTTGCTTCGAGGTACTGGGGTTTGAACTCAGGGCTTTTTGTTTGCTAGCAGGAGCTCTACTATTTGAGCTATACCCCAGACCTTTTTACTTTATGTGGTTTTTGAATAAGGTCTTACATTTTTGCTCTGGCCAGCTGGGACTGAGATATTTATGCTTCCCAAGTAGCTGGGATGACAGGCACACACCACCACACCTAGCTTTATTGGTTGAGATGAGGTCTCACTCATGTTTTACCTGATTTGTTCTCAAACCGCTAACTTCGTGAGACTATAGGCATGAGCCACAGTGCCCAAACCCTAACTGTATTTTTTTACGTACAAAAAGGAAACAGCCCACACTGTGGAATGGCAAGTAAACAGGGGTCACACAGCCTCAGTCACCTGGAAGGAAGCAAGTATGAAGATTTCGTCTCTTGGTGGTATCCCAGCCCGTTCCTCCTCAGTCTCACTGGGTCAAGGAGTCTGTGTGGAGACAGTACGATATCACCAGAACAAGGCACTGGGATTCAGACTTTCTTGCTTCTCTTCTCGGAGCCTTAAACTGATTACAGGAGAAAATTCACCACA